GGCCCCCCAAAACCTCGAAATGCTGTGTTACTATGTGTATTCGTTTTGCACACGTACCCCCGTAACAATACGTGAGGGATTTCGTAACAATTTTCAAAGTGCGTCAAACATCGTCCCATCACTGCAGCCGACATATCTTGTGAAAATCCAGCATTGTTGTATATATCCGCTTCAAGTGCAACTAGCTTTCCATTGGATTGGACACCAACCTTCCAACGAGCTTGTATAGGATGGCGTTGTCCACTTGTCATCATATCTTCGTCGCGATTTAACATGCATCGAACGGGTCGTTTGGTCTTCTTAGCTGCAACAGCCAGGAGACAAGCAAGTTGAACGCTACGGGATTCTTTGCCACCAAAAGCTCCTCCCATACGTTTCACTCGAGCATTGACACGAGAGCTGGGTACGCCAGTTACTTGAGCTACGAATTCTTGGGTTTCCATGCTATGAGAATTCTTAGATATTGTTTGAGCTGGAGAACACTTGACTTGACTTACCTATTCTGCGTTGAAGACCACACTTCATATGTTCCATCTTCCTTATTCGGAATCACCATTGCGGCGTTGGTTTCAAGGTAGAAATGTTCTTGGCCGCCTATCCTGGTAGTGCCTTCGAATATCTTGTCGCACGATGCCCAGATTTCGTTCATTTTGTCCTCGATCGCAACTCCTTTCTTCAACATCTTTCCATAAGGAAAATAACTATTCGCCTTAATTGCTTCATCAATAGTCAATATGACAGGAAGATCTTCGTACTCAATTCGAACGGCTCTAGCAGCAGCCTGTGCTTGTAGAGCGGTTTCTGCGAAAACCAAACCTATAGGCTGACCATGAGAAAACACTTTCCCGTCAGCAAATAACGGTTCATCTTTTACAATTGATCCCCATAGATTCAGATCTATTGGAATATCGTTAATATCGACGTAGCCTAGAGCAAGCCCTGATTCAATCGCAGGCGCCCAATCTACCTCCAATAATTTTGCATGCGCACGACTAGATAAAACCATAGCACCGAATAATTCTCGATGCTGTCTAGGCATATCGTCTATGTATTCTGCTTCTCCTGTTGTCTGTTTGAGGGCCGATAGATGTGGTATTTGTTTCCCTACAACACGTTGCTCATACGGGTTATAATTATCTCTAGTGCCCGAGGAAATCTCTCGATGTATTTCGTTGATAAGATCAGGATCCACCTTTCCCAATCCAAAGTCCGAAACAACTTCATGCCAGAATCTGAAGAATAGGGATATAGCCAATGTTCGACGATATGATGCCATTCCACCAGGAACGTCGTATTTCAGATCGAATTCTTCGGCTAAACTCTTCATCGATTCATTGAGAGTGGTGGAACTGTACCATGTTTTGCCAATCAAGCACTTCATAGTTTGGAGGGCCATAATAGTTGTTGGTGCCATTCCGCCATAGACTAATGATACTTCTGAGACGATATCATCCTTGTCGAGTCGCACACGAAAGGCAGCCGTCACAATTGCAATATCATCATCTTTCCTCTTGGCTTGCTTATACGCTTTGGTGATTTCTTTCTCGTTCGGTGGTGGCAAGGGAACTCGAACATCAACTATCACCGCATCGACTGGAAGCTTTGTCGTACGATATGATACGAAGAAGTCGGACATAGGTAAATCTTTAATCCCTTGAGACTTGCTTTGAATTGTCAAGACAGCACCTGCTGCCATAAGCACAGGATTGATGTCAGAAATGGGAGAAGCAGTAACAATATTTCCTGCAAAAGAAGCAACATTGCGAATTTGTCTTCCAGCGAAGTAACGGAGTTGCTTTCTTACTGCCTCGAAAACCGAACCTCTTTCACCAAGTCGTCGAGAGAGCTTTCGGCAAGTATCCTCTACATCAGTCAGAGAAGCATTGGCACCGAAGACAATTTCTGAACATGATTGAAGGCGCTCATCATCATCTGGAACATTGATATTTCGAAGCTCCTCAACATCCGAAACATAAATTGAGACTGGGAATGAAGAGTATTTGAATCGGACTTCGACCTGAGTTTCGCTAGCTCCGCATACAAGCTTAGCTGTGGGGTATGATTCTTTTATTAGAAGAAGTTGTTGAAGCGTTGTTGGTAAGAGCCAGGCATTTGTGTCATTTCCATAATACAACGGCTTTTTGGTAAAGTTATGGAGAGCTGGTGGAAATATAAGTTCAGTCTGAGCACGGTAAGGAATAAACGAATGTTGAATATCTTTCGGATCAGACAGACTCGCGGTATCAGGAGCCATAGTTTTGTCAGGGTTCGAGCTCGCTGAACTTTGAGAAGAACGGGTGGGGCTCTCCTCTGAAGAGTCTCCTGGAGAACTAGTACGAGATCCGCATGAACCACTGTTTGGTGAATCTTTACAGCACCCACCAATTCTCCCACAAGAAACACTGTTTCCTGCATCGACAGGATTAAGGTACGAATGTAATGGAACATTAGGAAAATTTGCTTCGGATGTACCCTCATCAACAGTATCTGACTTAGGAATGGACAGTTTTCCTTTGAGGTCATCAGTGATGAAGGTTCTCGCAGCCTGTAAAATAGGTTTATATCCGGTACATCTGCAAAGATTACCATCTAGATGACCTTCCAGCTCCACATCATTTGCAGATAGTTGAAATGACTTTGACAGAGGATCGTAGGAGTTTCTGATCAAGGCATACAATGACATGACAATACCAGGAGTACAAAAGCCACATCTAGAAGATTACAATTAGTTTAGTTCACAGATTATACTGTGGTAGTAAAGTATCTTACTGCGACCCGTGCAATTTCGCTATGCGTTCTTGCAATGGGTGAGGATTTTCTGTGCTTCCAATGCCTTCGATAGTGATAACATGCTTCCCAACGACTTTAATTCATTAACTTTGGAAGATCGATGTATATTTATGAATAATTACCTCCTATTAAAGGGAATAGACAAGCGTTCACGGCAACGTGCTTTATCTTTTGATTTTCGGAAGACTTATTAAAAGTTTGAAGCACAACTGTACACGCTCCGCATCCTCCTTCGCCACATCCAAGCTTTGTACCCTTGAGATCATCCTGGGACCTGATGAAATCTAAAAGTGTCCATTGAGGATTTGGGTTATGAAGATTTATTCTTGTTCCGTTTAGATAGAATTCCAGTGTAGAATCTTGGAAAATAGATTGAATTTCCGATTTCAGCGGTAGGATTCCCATAGTTGATGAACGTACAAAGTCGAGTGCAACGACGAGCCAGAAGACTGAGGGAATTTTGTTTGGATAGCCATATTGATCGAGTGGCTTGATACCAAGTTAAGCATTGCACAGCTGATAAATTCGGATTGGCTACTCAAGTTGTTGAGCAACGAGGATGGATGATCATGTCTTCAAAATGGATGGTGTTGTGTATGCAGGGCGTCGTATTGGTGGTAGTAAGATTACTGGGCAGAGAACGATAAGCTTAGTGCCAATCCGATAGGCTATCACGTAAGCTACACGCTCCCCTGTCAGAAGAAGAAAAACCATATCAGCACGACAAACCACTCCACAGTCCACTCCATATCGTATCCAACCACAAACGATCATTTTATCATCAATTCGCATTCGTGAATGCAGGACCGCGATAGCTTGAATATGCACTGACTCGAATGTCAAATAGTTTCTTTGGACATGTTACTGATAGTGGGCTGGTCTATTCTACATAGAAAAAGAGTCTGGATGTCTTGGGAAAGCTATGAGGGCCAAGTCAACACTCATCATGTCGTGTGCGACGTATATTGGAGGTGTTGTTTTACTACCTGAAAACTGCCAGAAGGCATTGGTGCATCCAGAAAGTATATAACCCCGAAGCTAGATGCACATACCACAAGATGGCAAACTACAAGAAGAGTAATCTTTATATCCTAGCGGCGAAGTTGCATAGTTTCTCGCAGCACGGGTGCTAGGTGTAAGTTCCATAATAATGGCCATTTTCGAGACCAATGCTTTGGATTGCTTTATTGCAGTCCGATATCACCGTTCAAGGAGGGGTCGAGTGCCCACAATTTGGATGGAAAAGGAAGGAACATGCTGGGTGCTTGCCTTTCAGATGGGAGGCACCTTATCAATCTAAAAGTTCTCCACAGCCCGTCATAGTCCTTGTACTGCACTATCTTTCATTTGTCTTTGACACTTTACTTTTCCTTCTAAGTGCAGCCCACATCACAAGTCGTTTGGCAGGCTCCATGAGGTCTACGTATTTCAAGAGTTATCGCGTGTTGTCTCCACATTTTCTTTTTGAAGCATGGACTTAAGCACAAGAGAACTTTGATGCCTTGAATATTGTAAGATAATTTAACACAAGGTACATGGCATTTGTAGTGCATTTGGCAACGACTGTCAATGAAATGCCACGATTACGCTGTTTCGACGCCCTAACGGAGCTGATTCCGTCAAGCCGAAGAATTCTGGTTGATCGGCTTTTGTTTCTCAGTCGAGGAATATCACTGGGGTCGGGCAGGGGCATACTTTTGTTCTGCACATAAAAAGTGTTCAACTTTGATATCGAGGAGTTGTCCGCGGTATCCTCCTACCATGTTCTTCTCCTGAAGGAGTGAGCCACTCAACCAATAGTCATCCATCTTTATTCGCTGTATAGAAAGTATAGAAATGTATAAAAACACAGAAAATATACAATAGCGAGACGTCTCTGGTGGTCATGAGAGGTTGATCAATCATTTATTCTGCGCTCTCATACTGCACATAAGCCCAGAAACATAGTCCTGCAGAGTTAGTTACTTGTGCCGTAAAAAAATGGTATGAGGGACATCTTCACGGTCCAATCACGTACCTACAGATATACACTGGGGTAAGTGTTCTGTTACTTAAGGTGTATTCAACTCTATTCATTCTTTAGGTAGCAGCTTCGTTTATTGCTTAGACGTTTTTGGTTGAGTTTAGATCGTCAATATTTGAGACTCATTTAAGATATTCTATTGCTTCATTCCCGCATGGGAAACGTTTCTTATTTTAAATCAGTAGCCTCACAATTGGGTTTTCAGGAATTCACTATAGTAGTCCTCCAACCACTTTGCGACCTCGACACCAACATCTTCACTTCCGTTACTAGACATACAAAACATTTTAAGAGAACCAACGTATCCATCGGGTCTGACATTTAACACAACGATCTCATCATCTTTGACGTCGCCGACCCATTTTTTCGTATAGCTGTCTTTGTATAAGTAAGAATCTCCAGCGTCTTGAGGAATATCGTCCAAATAGATTGTCCAGCTGCTTTCTTGCAAGCTTATTGGTAAATCTGCGATCTCGAACTTTTCTCTATCCATCTCCGTCACCAATGCGTACGTGAACAGCCTACTTACACCTATATACCTGATTGGTTGAACATATTCATCCACTTCAGTCTCTCTTTGTATAAAAGAATTTGCGGCAACAGAAGTGCGGTCGAGGGCTTGTGTAAGATTAGAAAATCTTTGGAGAATATAACCCAGACAATCAGACCATCGATGAACGTCTGATACGAAGAAAAAGATGCGGAATTGCCCAAGCAGAGGAATATCAAGCTGTAAATCGACAGGGTTTGCATCAACATATCTGGTCACCCTAGCGGGTGGGAGCAGCGCACCAGGTCGCAATACACCACCACTTCTTTCGCCGCTCAATCTTATTTTAGATCCTTTGGGTTGTATTTCATCAGCTTCTGCGTTCAAAATATTCCTGCCATATTCTGCAAGTCCAGAAATAAATCTAATGTTTTGGGCAAAGTTCTCGGCAAGCGCTACTGGGTCTCCAGCAGAGTAAGCATTGGCATGTTCGAAATCGAACGCGAGGAGATCTCGAGCAACAGCCTGTCGTTCTTGTGTATATGTTTCCAAAAGACAGGGGAGTGCAACAGATTTGATGGTAAGGGCCAATTTCCATGAAAGATTGAATGAGTCGTGCATCGATACATTCATACCCTGCGCGGCTTTTGGGGAGTGGTTGTGTGCAGCCTGTTCTGTTATTAGATTCGGATGGAATTCAAGATAGTGCATGGCCACTTACATCTCCAACAATGAAAACGCGCTGTGTATTATCTGAGAAGCGTTTGGCTGCTCGCTGTCCAAACTTATATACAGCAAACCATTCTATAAGGTCAGTAATATTTACAGTCATTAGGGAAAGAAAGCTCTCTTACCGATGCGCTTCCACGTCAGTTTATATGGACTGAAAATCTCCTCGGCTCTCTTCATCACAAAATCTTGAATAACTTCTTTGGAGTCCTCCTCTGCTGTGTCCTGCAACTCAATATAGAGTCTCGTCATATTTCGCTCTCTTGGAATGGAAAGAATTGCTCCTTTCTCCGATTGAACTATAGTCTTACTCCATAAGTCCGGAAATTTCGTTTCGATTACTGCATCCAAGATGCCCCACACACTCCCACTCTGATCTCCTTCCATATCTGCACCATCAATGCATTTTCTTACATTCGAATGCGCTCCATCGCATCCTACAAGATATTTTGTTTTCAAAAGCTTATCTTCACCTGTCTGGACATCTTTGTACTTTACGACTATATCCTCACTTTCAGAGGTCGGCTGTACGAGTTCAACGAAAGAAGAATTTCTTTGTACCTCGACTCCCCGGGCTCTCAGATCCTGGATAAATATATCTTCAATCATTCCTTGGTGAATGAGTAAAAGATTCGGATCCAACAAATCGACTATATCTTTTGGGTAATGAATTTCTCTGGCCGTACGATGAAGCTTTTCATCCGCTGTGGATTTCTGCCCAATGTTAATTTTCCGTTGCGAAATCAGTGACTTAACTGTGAAGTACTTGCCCAGTAACAGATATCGTACACCTTGACACCTCTATCAAGTAAAGAATCCGCAAGACCGAGTTGTTTGAGTGTCTCAATGGTTTTAGGTTGCAGGCCATCGGCTCGACCGGTTGCAGTTGAAGAAGGTCTGTCATCGAGAATAGCGACCTGGATTCCGTAGCGTGCAAGAGTGCAACTTTTTTGTGTCAGTGAGGTGTAAATAGGGGAATGTAACGGACTCACTCACGCTAGCATGAGACCTGCTGGGCCTGCTCCGATAACAGTCACCTGATTTGCAATATCCACAGTAGCATCGCCCATATTGAGATCCTATTCAGAAGTAATTTTTACAATATGCAAACCAGTAATTCGATTAAATCGGGATCCCTTCATTAGCTATAGGTTCCAAGAGGCATAGCAAACGACGGCGCAAATGTAGTACATCAAAACCAAATCCTTGTCAAGTTCCCCAGCTAGGAAAATTGCCTAATCTAGCGCCGAGTACATTATTACCTATCAATTTTGCAAGAGTCAAACTTCGGCATTGTGCATCATGTAATGCCAACACATGGTATTTCCGGTGTTCTTGCCCAATCAAGAGAGGTCCTGCGCGTGTGAGGGGCAACGCCACTAGTGAGCTGGGCGCTGTGGCGATCAGATAGGCGGGGTATAGATGCCCTGATCATTGGTGAGCTTGTGCTACGATGTAACTCATCGGTGAATTTATCGTGCATATCGTAATGATACTGAAGAAGTCCTTGAGACGTTATCGGGAAGCTTATCTTTTTTGGAATTTCCAGCTACTTGATTATGGAATTCCGTTGAGGATTTTCGAGCATCAGTCCTTCGATATCAGACAATATATATGATATTTCATTATTAGATACTGCTTTGGCCGATTTATTGTTATTTTGTGTACGCCACAGACTTAGTTTCATATATTTCAAGTACTATTATGTCTACCTCAAGCCCAGTGAAAGAGAAAATCTTCCGCAATGAAGAAAATAAGCTCAAGGTGACTTCAATTCTGGCTCCAATATTTTAATCTCTGCCAATAGCACTAAACATGAAGCAAGGTGATAATAGTCGGCGCTGGTCTCGGTGGTTTAGGCGCTGCAATTGCCATATCTCTTGCCGGTCATTCAGTTACCGTCCTCGAATCTGCCCATGAAATAGGAGAAGTACACTCTAATTCTCTCCGTCCCAAAATACCATTTTTTTAGCCCAAACAAACAAACAATTAACTAACTTCCAACTCGGCACTGACAGGTAGGTGCTGGCATCCAAGTTCTCCCTCCCACATCTCTCATCCTCCGTGATTGGGGATTGCTCCCTTACCTCTCTGCTCACAGTACCTCTCCAACAACAGTCAACATGATCTCGTGGAAAGGAAACTTAATTTCCTCAATGGATTTTAGAGAGAGTGCGGCACAATATCCGGGCTCCGTGTATTGGGATTTTCATCGTGCAAATCTACATAGAGGACTGTATGAACGAGCGTTGGAATTAGGAGCTAAGGTGAAAGTAGGAATGAGAGTTGTAGACGTGGAGATTCTAGAGAATGGGGCTAGAGTAATTGTTGAAAAACGCAGAAGCGAAGAGAGGGAGGAGGAAGAGGAGGGTGATTTGACCGCGGATCTAGTGGTTGGTGCGGATGGAATATTCAGTAAATTGCGAGAAGTGATGCTAGGGCGAGAAGACGAGCCACATTTGACAGGAGACTTGGCTTACAGGTTGTTATTATCTACTAAGGATATGTTAGCTGACGAAGAATTGGCGGATTTCGTAAAGAACCCGCAAGTGAACTATTGGATGGGTCCAAAAATGCACGCTGGTACACATCTTCCTCTTTTCCATCTCGGATTGCGCTGAGATACCATTGAATTGACATGTGTGCTAGTGAACTATGTTCTTCGAGGTGGTGAACTCTTCAATATGGTTCTTCTCGTTCCAGATGATATGCCGGCTGGTGCCACAACCTTGGAAGGCAATGTGGAAGAGATGCGTGCACTATTCAAAGATTGGGATCCAAGGTAATTACTCGCTTCTCCCAGGATACCGCTCTTGGTGATACTTCGTCCATTGACTTTGGCTTAGGATTCCAAAATTGCTCAGCATGTGTGAGTCCGTGTATAAATGGCGTCTTTGCACTCGTCCTGGTCTCGACAACTGGAGCCATCCCTCCGGTCATTTCACTCTTCTTGGAGATGCGGTTCATGCTACACTTCCTTATCTTGCTTCTGGGTATTTACAGCTTTTCCTGTTCTAACTCTCAGTATTTCCATGATTCCTCGAAATTCTATTGTTGCATATTTAGTCAATTTGCAATGGTCACTTGAAATATTGAGCCTCTCAGTTGAGAGACTCACCTGACCTTCACTACGAAGATTCTTCCGTGCATGATGAACTCCGAAAACTCAACCGTTGTCTCATCATCCCATCTCATTTTCTATCGCTATCAAAGACCTAACCTCTCGACAGCGCAGGAATGTCACTTGAAGACGCCGCTGTCCTCGGCGAGCTTCTCTCCCACTACCCCAATTCCTCCTCCACTGTTTCTACCACGTCGAACCTCAAATCATCCTTCCTTCGGCATACCCTACCTATCTATCAAGACCTGCGCGCACCACGTACTCAAACCGTTGTCGAGCGAGGAAATACCCAACAATACCTCTATCATCTTCCAGACGGTCCCGAGCAAATTGAACGAGATCGAAAGATGCGACAGCAAGAAGAGGGAGAGGCATTGGCATGGAGAGATAAGGGCCTTGCGCCATGGTTATTGGGATACCGGGTTTCGGATGCGGTGAGTAATTTTGATTTTGGCTTCATCTCAATTTGATTTATGGTATGAAAGACTAATAGTCTCTTCTAGGTTGAAAAACTGTGGATTCCTTTCAGAGAACGGGCCGAGGATGAAACTAAGATGGACCTTGAGGCCAAGAATGACCGAGAAGGTCGAGATGCTAGATTATAATATCAAACGCGTGTATATACATATACAACTGCCTTCATTATTCAACCCAAAGACACCCGAGACGGTATACGTGAAAGCTTCATCGATGGCTGAAGTAAAGCTACGGTGAGTATGAATAATTCTAAATATCACAATCCAGGCTAAAATTGTTAAAACTAAGGTAATTCCTTGGAAAACTCTTACTCTGTGAAAATACTAATAACGGAAATTCTTAATGCATTGAGATATCTCCTATGGTATGCGGGCGGTTTGTTCATCGTTGCTTGACTAGAGATTTCTAAATTCAGGTCTCATGGAGCCACCTCTAATCCTCTATTAAATTACTGCATATGTGGTCATGATTCCTCAGTTTCCGTCTTGTCTCTTTACCTGAAGCACTATGCTAGAGAAGTACTTTGGATGCGACTACACAGCCGCGAGGAGAACTTGACTTTGAGGCTCTACCTCATCAGGTAGCCTTCAATCGGCAACTCTTCGTCGAGCAAGGTCGTTAGAGATACCTAACGAGACTACTTCCTATTACATGACCGAGTCCTAATCATTGTATTCTGAATTTGCCCGCGAAACTTATCGGACCAATAAAATGTCCATAATTTGTTTGTATTTCTCCGATTCACTTGATCGGGAGTTCTGTTTGGAAAAATCATCACAAAGATAGGCAGACTTCACATATCAGCATTCCAGAAAATTTGTTTAAAAAGGTATCATTCTCGCTAGTAAAAAATGTAGTTCAATACACTCATTCCATCCATCCACACAAACACTTTTATAACCAACGCTATGCCTTCGGCTTACTCGTCAATTTCAACAGATTAACTACCTTCCCCATCTGATAATGACACAGGAAGAGCTAGGCCCACCATTCCTACCGAATCCCTACGACCATGAACCATCGTTCGTATACACCAAATCGAGAATCCAAAACATGGATATGTATGCACCGAGAATTAAAAGGATATTATACACGTGTAAAGATTCTCCATGCACCTTGGTAAAATATTGTTAAAACTCATCATTCGTAATGGAAGAAAGGAACTTCTATCGAAGGGAGTTCATGATTTGTGAAGCGCATTATATTTTGCTCACAACTACGTTAAGACAATCCAATACCTGTAATGTGTTAGTAAGTGTAGTGTGCTGAAGTTTGGATGGACTTACCCCCTCGGCAATGACTCCTTGGTTGTAAAGATGCTTGCTAATTCCTTTAACAAGCTCCATTTGTTCTTCTGGTGTCAAACCGTTGATCACTGTTTCGATGACACCGCCAAGTGAGACTTTGTAGATAGCAATGAAGCTGTGGAAATAGACGTAGGCGAAGAAACCCATGATAAATTGACAATCCATGCGATCAGTAATTCCACCGTGTCCAGGTATCGAGTCGCCGAAATCCTTGATTTTGAAAGTCCGTTTGAGTCCAGAAGCAAAGAATCCGCCAAATGGTGCAATGAGTGATGCAAAGGTACCAAATACAAGGATGTGACCCTGCATGGGTGCCATGGAGAAGGATTTCCAGACTGGAAACCAGATAGGAAGCTGATAGGTATGAGGCAAGAAAACTGGGTTTGGAGTGCACTCAAGACCAGTCCAAAGGTTGGCACCGAGATCCTGTCGGGTGTTAGTTGCCGTACGAGAATCTGATTGAAGAATCAACTTACATTTACTGGACAAATGAAGTATTTGTATCGCATGAGGACATTCGTCATACCGACACCGAAAATGACTGTCAGAATCCAGGCACCAACAAATCCTTCCACGGTTTTCTTGGGTGAGAGTTTGATGAGTTGTGTACGACCGAATGTGATACCACAGATGTAAGCAAATATATCATTGCAGATGACAAGAGATACTGGTAGGAAGAACCAAATCATTCCCTCGAAAACGTTGTTCATGATGAAATGGGCTTGAACCACAATTAGGTAAAGGGCCATGTGAGTCCAGGCAAATTGCGTGAACTGGAACTTGTAATGCCCCGCTTGGAGAGAAGCGACGAAAAATACAAACCCTTCACACTGTTAGCATTGCACGCTCTCTTTCCAAGATATCTTCCCTACCAATAGTATAGAGCATAAAGCTGATAAATCTGTGATGTGTCGCAAAGGGCAGCAAAACTTTATCCACCAATACAATGTGCTTAAAATAGTAAATCACACTCTCGCCATATAAGAAGTACATCGTCGTCGCCAACCAATACCAATTCAACGCCTTGGTGAAACGCAATCGACGAGCTCGGCTGGGAACGTTTGCAATCGCAATGACTTCCTTGAACGATATTATTTGTACTGCGGTGACAATCGCAATGATGTATATGTGCCCCATGAACATAGATGCAAAGAATCCTCCTATCATCACAAATGTCCATATTGATCGTGTAATAAATGTCTGTTTCTTCTTCTCGTATTCCGACGGCACAACTACATTACTCTGCGGCCCAAAGTCATTAGCCAGCGCTCCAAAATAATGCTATAGGCGCATATCTCACCTCCTGGTTTTTCTCATCGCTTGCGCCATCTGTCTTCGAGATCTTTGGAGAGCTTGGCTCCGAGGCGGCCTCGCTGATATCTGAGAAACTACTTCTGCGACCATCACTACCGGCGCGACCATTTCGATGGTTGAACTTGATTCCCCTTGGTTTTGTCATTTTTGCAGAGCTCAACGAGTACGAGTTTGCAAATTCTAAAGAGGTCTTGGCGGTGCGATTTTCCTCTTCGTCCTTTCAATTATCCGTATCGCCAAATCCCGGATGCGTCAAGAGTGTCTTCTAGTCCCACCACTCCACATTCATAAGGATAAGTTATGCTTGAAATAGAACTGCACCGAGAGCAGAATCAAATAATATGGTGATCTTCGTGAAATCAGTTGAGAATGGGGTGGTCCTGAAGTGGGTGTACTTTTTTGGGGAGTGATAGGAAGTTGTGGCTCCTCTTCGCTCCTACGTCAGCCAAAAAACCCTGGAAAATCAGAGTGTTTGCTTGTGATATTCGCGTTAATTGAAGCCTGTTTCTAGTGATGGAAAGCAAGAAAAAGATGTTCAAAAATTTCAGAATGGATTGGGAAGTGGTTTATTCTAATAATTCAAATTTTCAAAGGAGATTCACTTCATGCAAACATTTATAATACGTATCAATACTCTTGTTATTACCAGGTACTTTTATTGTTGATCTACGAGTATGGTACCGGTACCAGCAAAATAGAAAAGCAGCATTTCAAAGAAATTGCTACTGCTCCACAATTAAGTGCGCAGATGGATAATTTAGTTCCGATCTCCGAAAGGCGGTGGCAGAAAGTCGCAAGGCTGTGGCTGCATTCAAGTAATATTAATTCCAGTTAAACATTTGGATTGATAACATACCTACAAATAATTGCCACATCAATGTTTTCAGATAGTTCGATAATTATAGGGATGGAATGGCTCCTCACGAAGATGGAGAGAATAACTTCTCCGATGATGATTTTCTCAATGATATACCAGCAGATGCCCTAGACGAACTCGAGAATAATGCTATAGCATTCACCCAAGCCCAGATTAAAGCCCCTCCTTCTTCTGATTATGGGGATGAGTTTGACGACGATGATTTGGATGATGCAGTCGTCATAGATGAAGCCAGAAGTGCCCCTGCGGTTGTGCCATATATATCTCGAGACAATGTAAATCAGGCTGTTCGACACGAACAATTTCAACAGCAACTTCATGGAAATGCAGAGATTGTGGACAGGCCAAGAGATTACATTGGGCCTGCTCGTCCTCGACAACCAGATCACTTACCACAGCCATTTTCAAATACAATTTCACGAGAGAACTCGAACCTTTCTCGGCAGGCGACTCAATCAGTAACGGACGGTGACAATGAGGCACTTTTAAAACTAGTGCAGGAGGTATTTCTGGTCGCAAATTATCATCTTTGAATATGCTCACTGACTACTCTTCAGTTGCAACAGAAAAACAAAGCTCTCGAGCAAGAAACTCTATCGAAAAATGGCGAAATCTCAATTCTACGTGGGAAAATAGACAAATCAGAAAAGGAATATGAACGCACACAAGCAGCGAAAGAGAAGTTACACGCGGAACAGTTAGCAAAACTACAAAAAGATAGGGAAGCAGCTGAAATCGCTGCGAGAAATGCTACAATCGAGCGTGATTTCACGAAGCAAGATTTATTCGAAGAGACCGAAAGAGTCAAAAGGTTAAACAAAGCAAAAAATTCTAAGGATGCACAAGTTATGACCCCGAAGAAGACAGAGCCAATGCCATTCAGGGACGGGTTTGATGATGATGAGATCGAGCTCCTTTCTCCTAGCAAGATGTCCCCATCGAAATTTCAAAAACGGCAACCTGGAACGCCTTCGAGAGCAGCAAAGCGGAAACGCAAAGCTAATGACAGCCCTTCAGCTAGTGCTTTAGATTTGCTGCCTGTTCCAGATTTACTTTCGCAAGCACAGAAGACTCCATTGTTGGATGAATCAATATTAGAGAGACTTGTTCTACAGGATGACCGATCGGATTTCCTTGCGGCCATGCTAGATCACCGACCGAACCGTAATCACTTGAGGACTCTAGAAGCATTTGGCAAGCATTCTCTACCATCATCCTCAAATGAATCTTTTTCATCCCTGATTCTTGGAGAAATGCCCAGGATCGGTATGAGAAAGCCTATTTCCGAAGTACCGGCTGAATTTTGCTTGTTCCTAATACAATTATGGTCTAAGTGCATGGATGAAAGATGTTACACGCCCATTTACTTGTTTGTTGACATTCTCACCTTTGCGCTCGAGTTAAAAACGCTCTCGATTGTACCGCATATCATTGATCAACTCATTCCCCTGGTGCAGAAAACGGCTGATCTCGTCGCAATTCCTCGTTTCAAAGGCGAGCCTTGCGATCCTTATGATAAAGACATTAATGTATCCGCTTGCTTAGCTCTGACTCACCTCGCTGCACTGGGCTGCGTTCCTGAACAAGAACATATAACCAGATTTTGGAAATTGATGAGGTGGGACTTTGTTCTTCTTATGCTTAGTCAAAATCAACCCCCAGCAGATTTCGAGTGGATGTTGCGAATTCTGTCCACCGGTGTTCTGAAAGATACTTTTGGTAGCAATCCAGACGATAGTCCAAAGTTTAGAGCATCTACAAACGCTGGTCATATTATAGAACGTCTAACATACCCACTATTCGAGGTACCTTGCCTACCTATGAGTGTGGCTAAAGCTGATCCTGATGTTGTCCTCAAATTGCGTCTTCAAATTATATCCTTAATGACCGGTATGACTCGATCGCCCTATGCTGGAAATGCACTTGCTTCCCATCCAACTGCAATTGGTAGACTCATCAGTTTAATAAGCGATGAATTAGATGGCCTATATGACCATAAATCAGGTCGTGAGGATAGGTACGAGATTCTTCAGTTCTTGCGACTACATCACTAACATTCCCCAGTGCCCGTCTCATCAGTCTCGCAACTCGTCTTTTATTCCACCTGGTCACTCGGTACGAATTCGATATGCAAAAGAAGTTATCAGTCATTCGCGGCGGGTCACAAAAGTATCTTCTTTGTTTGGCTAGACTAAACTTTTCAGAGGATGACCTGGTTCTCGAGTCAGGTATTGACCCAGATATCCCTGGCTTTGCATTAGAAATGTTGGAGATGGTCGTTACCCCCGAAGAAGGGGAAGCCATACAAGAAGCTTTGTCGAATGGATAATTGTTAGTCTGGTGTATTTTTAAGGCATGTATGATGGTATTCTGGTTCGAGTTGGAAATTTCTGGTTATAATAGATTTGGGTTTAGCGAGGCGCTGTGGATTGCCTTTTCTTCGGTCTGGCACCCGTTTTTGGTGATTTTTAACTAATGCAAATACAAAAGAAAGAAGTCTTTTTGTGGAAGAATTTAAGAGTATGAATGTATACAAGCTGTGGTTTCGATCAAGGTCTAGAATCTCTTGCTCTTTACAGTTGGTTATGTATTGCTAGCAGAATTTTGTAAGTGACTCGAGAGAGAATTGGAGTTAAATTCAAGAACGGGAATCACCGCGGAGGATGTCCAATGTCATTGTTAAAAACACGTGTTATATTTACGCTAGTGCTAGTTTACACGCTAGTGAGGCTTGGTTCTATCTTGAGTGCAAGAATGCTATTCACTTTGGGGTGTTTGGATATTTGCATGTAGTGTGAGATGTGGCAAGATACTTAGCTTGGGGTTTGAAGTTATCGAGTTCTTGTGACATTTTGATGACTCGAAGTTTTGAAAGAGAGTAGATTTACTGGTGAGAAACAAAGAGCAAAGTTTTTCTTAATAGGTGGTGTCGCGAGTTGCGGCATGTATTTGTGGAGTTAGGCTCGATCCGAAAATAGACCTGCATGTGAGAAGATTGGGGTTTCTCAGTCAATCGCATCGGACTGCTGGACTTGAATTGATTTTCACAGAGTTATCTTCGCGCGTGGTATTCAAAGTTTCATTTGCTATCGATATAGAAAATATCACGGCTAGTGCCGCACATTCAAATTGTAAAAGGGGGGTATGAGGACAAAGAGGATTTTTTTCGAGCATTGTTTCTTTTTGGGAACATGTTAAGCTTTCGGTTGAGTGACATGCTTGGTCTACGTTAGTCGTTGATGTTAGGGTTATTGGGAGCGTTTGGTATGGAGATCTCCGTGAGTACATCATTTTTTGTAGGATTTGTTATAGTGAAGATATGTGATGTCGTTGTTTCAGTCACTGATCGTGGTTGACTATCGTAGTCGACCATCGTGGCGTTTGCCGTGCAATAGTCTTTGTTTGTATCTATTAGTCTTGTAGTATTATAGCGATTTGTATCTCAAGTAGAAGTATCCTCCTCTACCTAGATTTATCCATTCATATACCACGGCTAGTTCTCAGTTGCTTCAAAATAACCTTGATATATCTACTCTACCAAAAGTTTCAAATTTTTTGCCCACTATCAACATGAGTACGGCTAGCGAAATACTGAATTTACCACCCGAAGTCCTTGCAACTATTCCCGTTGGGACGCCACCCGCGGGAGTCCAGGCCCTTTCCCTAAATCCAGTCAGTAGGGGTTGGCTTCTGATCTCTGTCAGTAGTATTCTGTTCTTCATGGCGACAACATGTTTTATTATCCGTGTATATACGAGAGCGGCAATCCAACGAAAGGCGGTTCGAAGCGATTGTTAGTCATTATTCGTTTGACCCTTTCATCCCAATTTCATTAGCTGATTAGATTATAGTTATTTTACTAGCTGGTTTCGTAGGTGACACTCTGCTCATCAGCTTCATACATCAATCTAAGATTTTATTTGCCCTTAGGTTATGGCGATAATATTCTATATTGCGTCGATATTATGTACAGATCAATTTCTCCCTGAGTAGCAACCCACTAACACTTGTATAGTGGTTACTTCTGGTGGTACCACCGGCGTACACGAATGGGATAAATCACTGCTGGAGTTATTTAGTAAAAGAAACTTAGTGGCAAGTCTCATTCTGTTTTGCAAACCTCAACGCATTCATTTCTCCGAACGTATACTTATTTTATCAGCCATTCTACATCAGTGCCATTGTAGTCAACCCTGCCTTTGGCCTTGTGAAGCTCTCTATATTCGTTATGTACCTTGAAATATTTGCAGGTTTACGCTGGATGCAAATCTGCGTTTATATTGGCGCATCGTTCTCGTCCGCCTTCTACTTAGCTGTTACGATCCTCCTATTTTACCTCTCGACACCGTTTGGCAGCGAAACATTCGCGTCGAAGATATTAACGCCTCAATATGACATGTATATACTTGTAGGTATACCCACGTCTGCCATTTCATTTGGAATCGATATTTACCTTCTCGTCTTACCACTCATTGCGGTGAGCAATCTGTGCATACCGAGGAAACAGAAGATTTTTGTGATGGTAGGATTCGCTGTAGGATTGCTGTAAGTCTGAATCATCTTAAAACTATGCCGATGCTCTGGCTTTGCTAATGATGACATGACAGCGCTTGCCTTGGATCTCTCTTAAGTATCATATATCGTGTGGTTATCAACCGGAGTCAGGATGCTTCATGGAACGGTCTCACTGTCGTCCTCGTAATGTGAGCTCAATTTCTACCCGGAATTTCGCGCTGACAATTCAGAACACTGATGAAGAGACAGATTGGTAGAATTATTTTGTGGCATAATGATCGCCTGTTTTCCGTCTTTGCTCCTTTTTTTCCGCAGACACCACGAACATTTTGCCAAAACTGGTGCGGCTATATCGTCTTGGTTATGCTGTACCCGATACAGAAAGTCAAATACAACAATCAAAGATTCTCAGTATTCAAGTTATCCTTCCGAACGAACACCAGCCGGTGAAGTGAATCTCTATCCCGATCTTGACTTCTTGACAACGCCTGGAAACGTTGAACGCACTGCTTTGGAAAAGAGGATGGAGAATAGAATTGGACGAGATGCGATCGCCGTGTGATGGGGTCCCAAACGTTCGCGTATTTCTTGCTGGTAGTACTGCTGCTATGGAGTGTTAAAAATGGATAAAGGTGACATGATATATTCTTCTGTGTTGACACAGACTGCGCCGGTCAATCTATAGACTATAACAACGCAGAAGTCGCGGGAGGCAATTCTGTGGAATTTTGGGAAGCTTGGGAATTGCCCAATCTAATATTCTAGGCACTTTCAACCACCCTTCTTAGACTGCCTGGAAGTCATCGGAAGGTTATCTATTACTGGGAAAGGGTGTAAGTAAAAGCTTATTGTTGAAATAAATCTTGAATGTGTAAACCACAGTCCGCAACAGTGCCTTGCATGAAATTGATCGTCGTTTAATGAGAGGAGACATGCAGTCTTCACCATCAACTCGAATTTGCTAAGAGCACAAGCATGAATATGAATTCATTTGTGCAATTTGTTGCATTTGAACTCACATCATAACGTCGAAGTGAAAGTGAGCTGGCAAATTGTCAAGTAGATGCAAAATATTCCTATCTCCTAAGATCGATTTCCTAGCTCTGAGCAGGCGGAGCTGGCATCGTAAAGAGTCGCCGCTACAGTGTTTCGCGAATCTTTGTTTGAATAGACGTAATCCATGATCACTGTGAATAAGTGATGAGGGGACCCATGCGTTGAACGAGGATAGCTTAGAAGTTGTTTTAACCGGGTTTCCAAAAGAAATAGGTCCAAATTGAATGTAAGATATTGAATATCTTGAATGTATTGTGTCATAATTCGTTTTGTAATAATAGACTACTTTTACCTGTAAAATTGCTATTCATAATTCCTACAGCATATGTATCTCATATCTGTAATTGGTATCCCTGCAAACCCTTATATTCCAGATCTTATTCCCGCCGTCCCAATCCCCAATAATTTTCCGTCGTAACGCCTTTAATGAAATCGCTTAAACCATAGGAGCAGCTCTCCCTTCACCACTCAATGGACCCTGACGAACAATCGAAATCTGTACCGATCTCAAGATTCCTCGTTCCTCATCAACATGTTTCATCTCCAAATTCTCTCCTCCATTTCTCATCCCCGTAGCCGTCGCTGTATTCCCCAAGCTTACCGTCGAAAAGGTAGCATTATGTCCCTCCCACTCCTCCAACACATCGTAGCTTTCTGTCCCTCTTCTCTCACCCCTTGGCCCCGATGGCATCCTGCGATGTTGATTCCACAAAGAATTACTGCTCCTCTCCGACTCTATAGACTCGGCAGACGACTTAGACGACTTCGAGAGCGAGGAGACAAAATTACACATCCTTGAAACACGAGGTATCTGCGACATCGTTTTAAAGAATTTCGGTAAGGTCGGTAGACAACTCGTGATGATACCGGCTCCTAGCTCAACATATGACGGGATACACATGATGCTCGTGTACCAGGAAGCGTCAGGATTTTTCAATAGTTTCAAGGAAACAAATAAGCGAGCCATGGATGCTATGCAAGCCCTGGAGGATAAGTTAATAATGGGGGACATGTATGTACCAATATGAGCTTACAGAAGTCCCGTTGAGAAAACGGCGGAGACGCCAACGTGTTCTTTGAAACTCATCTGAAGCTTCCAGATGATCGGTTGCGGAAGTAATATAATAAGAAAATCGGTTATGGTATTGGCTGTCCCAGTCGCTAGGAACAGATAATTCACATCAAGGCAGTGACCCGTGGTATCCAGAACATTCCAAAACTTGGGTATAGGGGTGCAAATGAAAATTGTCATGAACAACAAGATCGTATAGAACACGATGGTTATCCACATAAGGGCATGGCAGCTCCAAAACATTAGATCTCGTGTTCCTGCAGTAAAGAGCCGAATGTATTGTAGCAGTATGGAGATCTTGATTGACATTATCGCAAGACCGAATGATATCGATGTAATGTAGGTGCCCTGGTCACTATGAGCTACTATAAAACGACAAGATACAGTATACATACATAGAGAAAGATTTGGTAATCCTTCAATCTAATATCCCATTGATGTCGTCCGAAGACATTGGGATCAAACCCGGTTGTTACGTTAAAAACAATATAACCGCACTGTAGTTTACTACTCAGCATCTGAAAGAGTATCTAGAGAAAGATTTAAGTACCCATGCTGCAACCGCAATATCTAAGCAAGTTAGCGCCGAATTCAAACGATCATATGTCATGATACATACAATCTTCCAAATGTACCTCTCGAATAATTCTCCACTTGGTATAAACACGTATGAAAATAGCCAAAGTAGCTAAAATAGTAGTCACTATCTTGACCGCATCTGCTGCCGGCCGAAGGGAATAAGGGTTATCAAAATTCGATGTAACACCCGGTGGAGGAGTCAAAGCCGGCCCTTCTAATAGCTCAATCTGAGATTGCGACATTTCTATCATAATAAAACTTGGCACGCGTAAAAGAGAGAAAAAGTCAATTCATGAATCGCAAGTGAACAATGATGTGAAGACTGGCACATAAGCTCCTGATAATATGTTGAGAATTCGTCTGACATCAGCCGGGTCATGACCGGACTTGAGAAGAAAGGCTGTGCACCTTTCGAAAACATTGTGTAAGGTGAACGGAAATATATCATACCACGACAAGGTTGATTGGTAGATATTCCTCCACACTGATTTCTGGCTCTTGGCTTGCATGCACTTACTGTTCAGCCCTACCTCGACTCTAGCTCGAGTACAGTTCAGCTGCCTGAAAGAGTTCACATTGTAACGTTTCAAGAGCACGGTTGCCGAAATTGAAAAACACTGGTGTGACTTTCTACATCTTTCAAGGTAGGTACTTTCACACAATATGGATCACGTCTTTCTCGACATTGGAAACATCACTTCAAACTACCCGTCGGGCCTGTGTTGTCGCAGAGGAAGAAAGGTGGCGCGATGTTACACATCACGTGTTAGTCCCGTGATTCTAAGTACTTTATTGTGCTAATGATCTTCCCAAATTTCCACTACTGCTTGATATAAATATAAAGCTTCTCCCGAGTGAAGAAACCATGTTGAATAAACATGTGAATCAAGATTGACATTGCCTAGAACCCGATGAGGAGCAGATAGTATTGCCATTGTTAAATCAAGACTCAAAGTCGTTGCATACCAACTCTTTTCTCTTTCCACTATGCAAAGGACATCAGTATCAAATCAACAAGAGAAGCCGACTTTCAAGAAACTTACATCAAAAGCAACCTGCACATCTCTGAACAACGGTTCTCCGAAAATCCACATATCTTCCATTCCATTCCCATCCACACCACCGTTTCCAAGTACTCCACTTTGGCTATCCATATTACCAAACCTGCCCTCTACTACAATTCCCACACAGTACCCACTGCCTCTCTCCATCCTTCCCAAACTGAATCTTCCTCCAGGTGAAAAACCTCCTTCATCCCCCTTGCCATCCAATACCTTGACCCTCAAATTGCCAAACTCGACTAGTAAGTGAGGTGGGTTGAAACACGGGTAGGCATGGAACTGATCATATGGCGGTGAAAGTTGTCGAGAGCCGGATATGGAAGAGTATAGATTGCGGACCAGATGTGGTGGGCCGATTATGTAGGGGGTATTAAGCTTGGAGAGTTAGCGGCTTATGGAGAATGCAGAAAGGAGAGGGAAATTAAAAATAAAGTATCTGGCTTACATCCAAAACTACTGGCTGGTTCTGTATAACTTTATTTCCGTCAACCCAAATTCCTTTCATGAGAATCTCCCACCATCCATCTGCACCTCGAACTTTACTCCATTCCCAAACACTTTCATCATTAGACTTCTGAGCCAAGTCATTGTTATCCAATGGAATTTCATCTCTTTTCATCAATCCTAATTCTGAATCTCTCTTTATTTCATCGTCTTCAGGCTGCATTCCCAATCCATCCATCTTCTTGAATTCATTGTTTCCAGGTTGCACATCATATACATCAGGCCTATTCAATTCATCATTTTGAGGTCGGAAATCACTTGCCTCACCTGCCTCGAGTCTCTTCAATTCCTTCTCGATCATTCCCTCCACCTCTCTAACTGCCTCGACCGAAGATCCTCCCACACTAAGTACCCCTTCATATCCATTAATCAGCATCAAGCTCCAGACCTCAGCATCAACAACACCACTCTTAACAATCTGCTCTAGCAGTCCACCCTTCCAACCCCCAACTTGTCCCAAACCCTCTCCTACAGCCAGCCCCAGACTTGCACCACTCTTCCCTAGACTACCAACCCACTGTTTCTGCGGTCTACAATGTGCAAAATTAACCGGGATATATCTTTCTCCTTTCAAACCAGCAAACATATCAAACCCCAACGGTAATCCCACAACATCCTTCCCACACCTACAACCCGGAAAATTTATCCCCTTACCCTCTTCATTCTCATTACTAACACTATACGTCCCACTTCTCTCTTCAAGATAGAAACTTCCCTTTCCACTCGGCGTACTAATAATCGCAAAATCCGCCGTCAACATATTAAGATCAAGATCCACATTCTGGGACGGCTCGCCGATTTTCAGCGACGTAAACCAGGTTTCAGAATTCCCGACTTCACCGAGAAGAGTAGTTCCCGGTTGGAGATATGTTCCAGATCGGGGTTTTGAATTTGTGGTATTCGTGATTTGGCCATCGTGCCATTTTTTGGGCACTCTGACGACTTTGTTCCCTTTCAATATTCTTTCGGAATTTGTGAATCTGGCGTTTATGTCTGCGAGTGTGGATTGAAGAAAGGTAAGATTAGCAGTATCGGGAGCGGGGAATGAGCCGCCGCGGCGAGTGATGGTGTAGTGTAATGGTGGAAGTGTGGCAATTGTGAAGCTTGTGAAAGAAATGAGGAGGAGGATGGTTGAGAGATGGAAACCTGAGGTATACATCGTTGAGATCTTTGTTGAATGTGCGGTATCAGGGTGAATTGTAAGAGATGGGATGAGTGCAGTGAAATTGAGAGAGCCATGTTAGACATAGTATCGGGAAAGTGCAGTTCACAGGAAAACTCAAATGAGCGGTACTTACATCGCCTCACACGGAAAGAACATTCTCTTGATTGGAATCACCCACTTCATTGCCACAAATGAATGAATCAAGAAGGTTGCTAAAGAATAAGTTGAACAAACCACGCAGTACAGGCGCGGAGAACATTGAATGAAAGAGAATATTAAAACAAATTATGTCAAATATATAAACGTACAGGGTGCCACAGCCGCCAACAATCATAATTCATATACGCTCCCCGCCATCTTCACCAATCTCACATCATCTTGCAATCAATTGGTATCGAGCTTTGAGTCATATCTCTCCAACTTCAATGCCGCCAAATCTAAATCCTCAACACCCCTTATCAAATCTGCTGCCTTCTCACCAATCGCATATGCAGGCATTTGAGTATGTCCTTGATTAAGAAGTGGCATGACACTGGTATCGGCAACCCTAAGATTCCTGACTCCTCTAACTCTCAGTTCTTCGTCGAGAACTGCCATTGGGTCCGATGCCTTGCCCATTTTTACTGTTCCTCCAGGGTGGTAACAGGTTGTAGCGTTATCTTTAATATAGGGGACCCATTGCTCTCTTGATGTGTATGCATGATGCGTTAAGTCTTTAGGCCAACTTCCCTCAACTATGTCCTTGGTGCCTTTTCCTTTCATGATGATCTCATTCGCGTATCTGCACGCCTCGCTAAGAACCACGATATCCAGGTCATCACTCAAGTAATTGTGATCGACGACCGGGTTATCCTTTGGATCTTTAGACTTTAAAGTGACGGTACCTCTACTCTTAGGTGCGAATAATTCAGCAATAATGGAGAAGGCATGAGATTTTTCGCCGTCGGGAAATTGACTGTATTGTTTTGGGCCACCGTAGCATTCTGTGGTAAAGAACTCGACATTTGGTTGTGATTTGGTTAATCCCATTGGATCTCGGCCTGGTCGTCGTGGTGCTGATGTCCAAGCTGGTTCCGAAGCAAGACGCTCATCAAGGCGAGAGTATGCGAATGCACCAAAAGGAAAGGTAGAGAGAGGTCCACGCTTTTCTTCTTTCCATTGTCTATAAGCTTCACCCAAAGCATTTGGACGATACAAGAGGTAATCATTGGTAACATTTGGCTTGGTTGTTTCATAAAACATGAACACAATCTGGAATTTTGTTAGCGATATTACACTGAGAGACAGCAAGTCATTACCATGTGATCCATAAGATTTTTCCCAACTCCAGGGAGGTCAATTTGACAGTCAATACCATGAGATTCAAGCTCGGACTTCGCTCCAATACCTGATCGCATAAGAATGGTTGGAGAGCAATAGGCTCCTCCACTAATGATAATCTCTCTTCTGGCTCTGATCTCTTTCTCTGTTCCATCTTTCTCAATTACTTTTACAGCTGCAGCTTTCAGCTCATGAGGAAACGCGTGGCTTTCGAGAATCACCTTATCGACAATTGTGCTGGTTTTTATCGCAAGGTTTGGGCCTTTTTTAGTGAAGTAGTTGGCCGATGTAGTTCTATCTCCTTTGTACACAGTTCTTGGTGCATGACCACAACCATTTGGAGTCTCGCCAGTTGAGAACATATCTGGATGAAGTGGAAGGCCTTGATCGGCCATTGAATCCAAAATCATGTTGGATATAGGGGCCTAATAAAATCAGTTCACTGTATCAACGATCACCTGTAACGCCACTTACCAGATCATGAGGCTCAACATCCAGTAAACCATCATGGCCATGTACCGAATCATTTGCTTCAAACCAGTCTTTGTTATGGAAGTTCTCTGCCTACATAACTATTAATATAAGGCACAATTAAGTAAATTGTGATCCTACCTTCTTCATGTATCCAAAAACCTCCTCTCCACTCCATCCTGGCATTTCCCAGTCATCATAGTCTTGTGGTGTACCTCTGATACACAATGTACCATTGACTCCACTCGATCCACCAAGGAACCTGCCACGACTGGCTTTGATTTGACGATTGTTAATCCCCGAATTTGGTTCCGTGGAAATATTCCAGTCTGCTTCCGTGTCGAAATTTTGTGACCTACCCATGATATTTGAGCTCAACTTCATAGAACGAAAAGAAAAAGCTCTTACCATCCACCAACCATAATAGTGTTCTCGAGAAGAGAATTATGCTCTCCTGCTTCGATGACTAGAACAGAATTGTTGGGGTCTTCTGCCAATCTTGCTGCAACAACGGCGCCTGACGTCCCACCTCTATATAGCGTTCATCAGTGATGTCCATGAATTCGTGTATTGAGAGATGAAGCATACCCGCATATAATATAGTCATATTCAGTACCTTCTGGCTTTACTGTGACAACCATGATGAAGTTCAACGTTAAATGGTATTATTAGAAATGGTGCAAAATCAGATGATATTACTAGAAATCGAGGTTTGAACAAAAGAACTTTTAAAAGAGGTGCCATCTTCGATATTATATGAACAATTTTGAGTCTAGAACGGTACTAGGCTTGCCTAGATATTTAGTACTCTCCTCAAGAGATATAATGAGGCGAGTCGGGGATACCTAGTAGTTCATGGTTAAGCACGCTAACCCTTATTGGAGTTGATGATCTCCATTTTGATCCATTCTCCAGCCGTGTGCTAAGTCATCACTATGCATGTAATATCACCCCTTCACCCCTTTCAGCCAATGAGAAGTCACGAGGAGTAATCACTGCACTATTCATGTGGATCCCAGACTATGTATTGGCTTGGTCATCACTAGACCTTATGCCAAAACAAATCATTCGAGTGCTGATACATGAGAATCATCAAAAGCCATTGACATCTATCTAATAAGCAGGCTCAAGACAGGTGAGCATGTATCTGCGCAATCATTCCGCTCTCGTACCCGGCTCAATTGCCAATCATTCATATTTATTCCTACAAGTAAAGAAGGAGTTTCTTGTATGAGATGGTGTTTAGGAAAGAGTAACAAAGTAAACTATTTTCGCGGGGGGAATGCGGGGTTGTTCGAGAGATCCGTGCAACGGAAATCTCCCGGCGTGTGCTTTTACGGAATTATGGCCGCTTTGAAATTATCATCGATTGCAAAACAATCAATCAATGAAACAGCTTCGACGTCGAGGAGCCCTCATATCGGGTATTGCCCATGCACACATAAAGGCTCCGGCTTGGCAGAGGAATCAAGCATTTGATACATGGCCGTTGTTGAAATGACAATAACACAACAGCTTTTTTGGCTCTGAGGTTGTTTGAACTTTGAACTCATCAGCTTATGGTTAACCTCACGGCGACGATGACAAGTAAGAATGGACACTTAATACAAAGGGATTGTTGACAAACAAGGCACAATGGGTATTCTTTGTTGTAAATCTATCAACAACGTGGTGTATTTGATTGGCTCTTTAAGATTGTTTCGCTTGTTCTCTCAAATTTGATGAATGAAGAGTCGAACATACGTTGTAGGCAGCCTATACAAGGACAGAACAGACCGTCTATCCAAAGATAAATCTTCTCAAGCCTCCCCGTAATTCAATTCAACAGATAAGTATTTTGGAAAGGTTCATATTCACTGAAACACTCACACGCGTACTGCATTCCATCAACTACCAGCACATCAAAACTAAACGGGCTGCAGTAGTAAGACTACCACTCAATAGTGCCATCATATAAAGAGATTGGTCAAGAATAGTGCCATATCAAAAGGGTAGTCAAGATGTCTACACCATTTCTCTCTACTGATTTCACGTTTGGGGTAGAATTTGAGTTTGGCATTCGCTTCAAAAAAGGATTATTTCCTGACTACACGAGGCTTGGCCCGGGTAAGATCCATAGTCTTATCAAAGAAACTTTGATCCTTGAAACTGGGCTTGAGCTTATGACAGAAGCAGAGATTGACCATGATTCTCCCCCTGTTTTCTACCAGAACAAAGATTTCCAAAAAATATATCAGCAAGACTTATTCAATACATGGGCCATTGGCACAGATACCACTATATCATTCAGGGCAGAGGAACATGCAGACAGATCGTCGATGTTCGTCGAGCTTGAATTGATAACACCAGTCATGAAATTTGGTCCAAAAGCCCTAAAGGAAATTGACAAAATGCTGACTGCTCTCAAAAAACATTTCGAAGTTATTGTCAACTTATCATGTGGTCTTCACGTTCATGTTGGCAATGGAATTGAAGGGTTGTCTTTCCAACCGTTACAACACCTCATGGCAACCATCTGGACTTTCGAACCTCAGATTCTCTCCCTTCTTCGAAAGTCAAGGAACAATGGTAAGTATTGTGGATCCCTTCATGAACGCTCCCTTCTTGGTGTGTACAAATTCGAGGGGAGCTTACTCGATGTCCTTCTCAGTACATCTGACGCCAACGAAGTCGTGGGCATGTTCGACGGATATGACTCTTTTTGCTACATGGCTTTCCAACTTGAATATCTTCTCCAACCTTTTCGGCATCCTGTTAAGAGAACTATAGAGTTCCGAGCACACGAAGGAAGTATGGATTCAGAGATCGTCTTAAACTGGGCGAGTTTTGTTGTTGAGTTGGTGAGCTGGGCTCACAAGATCAACCGTCAAGATTTAAAGATCTTTCTTTCAAAACACATTGACTCCAAAGTTTCATCGATAGAGGATCTTTTCAAAGAGATTGGTTTCCCACAATCAACTGTTGAATTCTACCGAGAAAAGGTCAAAAGATTACGAAAGGTTGAGAAGAAGGAAGCTGAGGAAAAGAGAGCGATCAAAAAGAAGAAGGCCGAGGAGAAGAAGGCTAGAGATGCAGCCAGCGCTGCAGGGGAAATGGTTGACAGCAAAGACGACAACGACAGCAGCAGCGACAACGACAGTAGTATCGATACATTAGAATCGGGATCGTTGGTCTTCTGAGGCGGAAGTGCATCAAGATCGCTTTCTCCCTATCATTTCATGGGTTTGCCCTGTCTTAGTAATTTTAGGCTAATAAGCAAGCAGTTCCTCGCTTTCCCCTCACAAATTTAAATCATCAATCGTAATTCAATCAATAATTTTGACCAATCAACTTTCGTTTCCTTTCGCATTGAAATAATCCTTTTCTTTTTCGTAACGCAAAAAATCTGCACTGACAACAAGATTCGTTATTTTTCATGTATGCCATCCAAGTGGTATCGCTATTGTACATGTCAATGACTAAATAACCTAAATTCAATACTTCCTTCCATTTCCATACTGATATGTCACATTCTCGTTAATTCATTCAATCTTCAACCCAGTACAAGTGATCAACACGGAAAGTGCAACTATGTGACTGCATAGCCCATAAAATGTGTGATCCAGGACAGTGTCAGGAAAAAAGATACGGTCTCAAAGTCTACTTCTTGTGGAAATGGGGCATACAATATTACCAAATTTCTTCTCATATTCGAGTCCTTCCAAAGTGAGTAAAAAGAAAGCAGAGGCTTGGAGAGTCCGGAAAGCATAGTTTAGCCAGGACTGACCAAAGTCCTAATATGTGACTGTCAATTCATGTCTACTTGCTGTTTTCAGTCATCAATCCTTAGATCATCTTCCATCCTCGCACTTTCCTTCGCTTAATCACTTGTTCATCCCTATTCATCCTTTCAATTCTCCCCGAATCCTACTTTTGACAACTAATTTCTCTACAATCGTTATATCAATTGCTCAACTTCATTTATAATTGTTACATTTTTACGTATTTGGATACCAATTTTTTTTATCTTTACATTATCAATTCGATTTGACAAATCGCGACTTCTCAAGATGTCGAGATTCCCAAAACATATGACAAGTCACTTTCGAAACACACCACAAGTTCCACAATCACCAAGACATTCAATAGAGCTTGACGCATTAGATGCCAATGGAAGATCCTTGACTCCTCCAAGGACTGATCAAATGTTACATGAGATTCAGACTGGGGTGTATGTATCTCTTCGTACGACGTCATTATGGACGCCAAAGTCGTCTCCCTTCTGCAACCATTCATTAGCTAAACTGAACTGTCAGATATATCTGTCCCATCTGTCAAGATACTATTACAGCTGATATAGCGGAGATCTGGCACTGTCATTGCTGCTATAATGTCTACCATCCTAGCTGTATCATGGCCTGGGCCAACAGGTCGACCCGATCACCAGGTTTTGGCACTTGGAGATGCCCTTCATGTACTCAAAAACGTAGCGACCGCCCGCTACCCTCTTGCTGGTGCAGAAAACATAATTCCAAAACCACGATGATTAACACAGGTAGCTGTGGTCAGTCTTGTTCAAGAAAAAAGCGTTGTGGTACTCGGCGCAATTGCCCTTCGTATACATGCTCAGCGATATGTCATCCTGGACCATGCATCAAACCCGAATGCACCGATAGCTGCGGAGAGGAGATACGCCAAGAGCCAACCATTCAACACCGAACAGCTTTAGACGACGGATCAAATGACATTCGGCAACAACTTACTGATGCAATTGCAGATCTCCAAAAAAATCTCTGGTCTCTCGTGCCTATTTTTACAATCAATTTCCTTGCAATTTTCTGGACTGTAAATCGTATCCGGCGATTTACAACACCACTCGAACACCAAAAGTGCACAGAAGGGGACCTTCGTAAGCAAGAGCAAAGCCTTTCTTTCATAGCTGCTTCTGCTCTCTTTCTTTTAAATTCGATTCTCTGGGGCTCTAATCTACATAGCATTAATAAGTGTTTCAGGATCTATCTAGGTTTAAGTACATCGAGACGGGTGCCTACGTCATATTCTATCTCATGGAGAAGGATAAGAATCATCGCTGCCAGGGTGGTTCTTACTATCTTGTGGATCATATTCATGATTCTTGTCGTTGGTATTCCAGCAGTGTAAGTATCAATTTTTTTCTTCCCTTTTTTTCTCTATAACTGACGCACCCTCCGACTACTCGTCGGACCAGGCCTTCACTGGAAGCATCAAACAAGCGGCACATGCGATAGCTTTGACACACGTATCAAACTCTCTGACCCATCTGTCGATTACTTTGGTCTTCACAACAGAACGACGAAAGAAATAAGAATCCACAACGACCATTTATACACTCAAACGCCTGATCTGTACCCATATCCCTCCTGGAAAGACTACGAATCTTACAAATCTGGCATTGATCTCTTCAACATCACCAGAATAAACAATACAGCTCTACGCAGCCCTAAATTATCGACCAGTAAGCCATTCGACCAATTCTGGCGCATCATGGGGATTTACGGCAATAAACCCCTACATATGGATTTCGATCTCTTACATCGCTCTTGGCGTATGAAAGAGGGAATCGTAATAATCGACTCTGAAGATCCCAGTTCCTCTTTTTACAAAGGTGGAGTCTTATTCGACCGACTCAAACCAGGGGAAATCTATGACTCAAACAAAACCGCTCACCTAGTCCCTAATTTTGGCATCGCGATTCAAAATCTTCACGAAGTACGCAATGGAACATGGACAGATACCGATGCCGGGAATCTAGAGCTTACATTCCCCGAATTGGATCTACATATTCCGTTGTGGGGACTCTTTGAAAAACATTGTGTGTATCAAAGTTTTATAAGGGTTTTCCGAAGGCCAACTGACGAGATTCGGAAAAAGTGGAATACTTGGAGCAAAGAAAGCAATGGGGAGGAAGTTATGAGAAATGCGAGTTTTGGGTATGGTGGAAATGAGGGATTGGAAGCTTGTGTGAGGAGAAGGAATTATACGTGGACTAGTCATGGGGTCAAGATAACGGAACCGGGGTTGGGAGAGGATCTTTTGGTGCCGTTGGGGTTGATGGCTGTGGTGAGGATGAGTATGAGGATGGAACAGGGGAAGATAAGAGATGGGTGTCATTGGCCGGAGCTCTGAGAGATTTTGATGTCTTTGTGATTCTTTTCGATGAGCATTGGGGTGGGTGAAGAATTGATAGAGATAGCTCGATCGAGAGGCTACAGCGTTCTATTTTTCATAGTCACTTGTATGACAAAGCGTAAATATCTCATAATGGGGTAGCAGTAGATTTCATTCTGTTATGTATCAACTTTGATGCAGCCTAAGAATGAATTTTCAAACATCGTCCTTATCAAAGGGCGTAATTTCAAATGGGTTTGGATACCACTTGGATGAGATTGCGGATGGTCCTGAAAATGACCCTTGTGCCATCGATAGTTCATGAAATTACTATGCTTCAACTGAATGTTTTACGTATATCACTGATCATAAATGATGCTATATTGTTTATTATAGCCTGAGATGATTAATTAGATCGGTTTCGCAGTTGGATTCGTGTTTATTTATGTTTCTATGTGAGTCTCTTAACATGACCGCAGTTTGAATCTTCGCATTTTATGATACTATTATGAGAACTCTAATGATCATACTCACATAGAAGTTTGCCAAATTCCTGCAACTAAAGGAGCGGAGTCGATTCAACAGTGATGCCTATCGTGCCATTACGTTTCAAGTATGACTGTCTACGGTATAAGGCGGGAAACTTAGGCTACAATATGAGGGCATTCGGAGATTGATTGAATTAGGTGTACTAGCTAGCTACGAGGATGAGAGCTCTTACTAGCACTGATTTGAGCTAGTTTCCCCTGTGTATCAGTCGAATGAAGTACTTAAGATATCCGCCATCACAAATTCTCCATCTCTCCTTTTCTCCTCTACAACCAATCAACAGTTCTCCAACACCCCCGTCGAGTCTCAGCAACAATGACAGACCTGAGTAAAGCCAACGGCTTCCCGCTCTTAAAGGACTCTATTGATCTTCTGTTGCTTCTTCCACACTATCTCGACATCATTGAAGATTTCATTCATCTTTCGTTCAGTTGTAAAACTTTGTAAGCTTCACTTTAGATATATTTATTGCAGATGGATGACCATGAAGACTAATTATTGGCACTTTTAGGCACAATATCTACACTGAGCATCCTCCACTACCTGGATTACTATTTGAGCCCAAGCCTCATTTCCTCATTGCTGGTGTCGCGCGCCAAATTGGTGAATGGGCTGTTCAGAGTATGTGACTCGAAGCTGTATGATCGACAGTCTGTACTGACTCTATTTGCGTTCCACAGCAGCAGAAAATCGTATTGAATTTCATGAATCCTTCAGAACAGAAGGAATTTTTGGATTGTTCGAGCTCTGCAAGAAGAGGGGAAAGCTGACCCTCGACGAGATCTGCGACCTGATTGATCGGAAGTCCACTCTCAGGTCACTTGTTTCAGTTCACTGGCAACGAATGAATCGCATAGTAAATTCCGAACATATAGCCATGTTACCCTATCTACAAATCGCAATGTTTGGAGGTCTATTCGCTGCTAGCGTACGCAATTTTTGCGAGCCAGGAGTTACGAATCCATTGCACATAAGCATCAGATTAGACTGGTGAGTGAAGTGTTGCCCAGATCTTTCGTGCAATGATAGCTGGGATATAATCGATGCACAGCCCTCTTGGATGGGAGGCCTTCAGATGTACGACATAATGAAAGGTAAGGGTCATAGCGAGGTAACGAATGCTGGTACAATGACTAATGGCCGGATAGTCCTTCAAATTACCGCGACGCTACGAACCTCCACTTTCATCTCATTAATGAAGCAAATTCCTGACTGCTTCGTCACTTCAGTGCAGAACTGCAGAGATATTTCCTATGATGACACTTACCACGATAGAAACTTTGCCTTCTCTGCTTTCATTTACCTGCAAGGCTGGGACTCACTGGACTTGATGTATCAAGTTGAGGTAGGAACAACTTCACTTAACGCACAAGCGGCAATTGAGGCTGCAATGATTGCCTTTCGAATGGAAAACAGCCAAGTCACCAACTTCAAAATCATACGTGATGATATGATAGAAGACATAATGCAGGACTTGGGTACCGTAGTGGACATTGAGCTCGATACATATTTCGTTTGCGATCGCGCCCTCTTGAGGAATATGTTATATTCGCAGGTCAGCCTGTAATAACCAGGTACATTATGGTGTTGTTGCTCATCGTTTAAAAGCTTCAAACCCAGAAGGCCTAGCAATCCCTGCCATTACCACAACTTGATCTGGCTAAGCGTACACTAGACTTCAGTTGATTCTTCAGATTGAATACATGCAATTCATATGGAATTCCTAGATATTCATCTGTTACCAATGGTTTCTGGATATATCCGAGGCAAAATTGAATGCTCTTACTACAATTTTATCCTGACCATAATTCCCAATAGTACATAGATATTCTTCGTCAGGTGGACAATGAAAATGCGATGTACTGTAGTTGGACTGTGGCGCATCTCCGAGCTACATCCAACCTCACTCTCATTCCAAAGACACATCCTCTGCTCGAGTAGTCAAGTCCTATGTTCTACAGATAGACATGTATCACAGTCTACATGACTGCAATATTCTGAACCGATCCATATACTCGCTCAGTCAGTATTATCTACGTAAGCCGCCAGTGCACGATTCAAGATCCAACTCGTGCCACATGATTCAAGGATCGCCTCATCCATCAAACATGATTTTGGATACAGCATTACCTAGTACTTGATTCCCCTATATGTTCCAACAAGACTTTCCAATCTATCTGAAGTTTATAGTTGTGATTTGAACACTAGCTCAAATAGATTATACCCATTCCAATTTGCTTCTCCTTAACTCACAACCCCAGAATTCCTCCCAATCTATCTTGAATGCTCTTAACCTGATCCATAGTCATGACTTGACTTCCCATAAGGTACACCACATTCCCCAGTATTCTCGCGTGAATATTCCATTCCCCATCTATGCCCTCAACTTTACCATCCAACATACTTTCTCTCACTGCTTCTGTGACTCTCGACGTGTAGCCTCCTCCTTGCTCATCCTTGAAAGTGATGGCTAATACACTACCCAATGCAATCACTCCATCAACCGATTCCAGGTGAGAGATAGAGGTGACGAAAGATTTACTCCATATACTCCAGACCTGGTTGTTCTCATGTGCCTTATCCATTTTTATGGCAGATTTAGAAACGGATTTTTTGGTTTCGGGGTCCCAGTCATTTCTGAATCCCTCCCATGCGCCATTTTTATCGCTGTCTAATCTGTCCATGGTTTCGAGACCTACACGTGCGACTTCACAACCGACGGCATGACCGGTGTAACTATGTCCATGTAGAAGTGCTTCGCTTTTTTCGTCACCGAGGAATGCTTCATAAATGCTCTCACTAGCGACGGTTGTGCAAAGGGGTAATAGACCTCCGGTTAATAGCTTGGCGTGAACTGAGATATCTGGGTGAGTGTGTAAGAGTGTAGACGGACTGAAGTGTCCGAGACGGTAGAGACCTGTGAATACCTCGTCGTGGATAACGGGAAGTCCGGTCCATCGGGTCGGGGAGGACTTGTAACCTTCAGGAGGAGGATTGGCTTCACCGAGTAGTTGTTCAGGAATTTCGCGGATGACGTTTGTTAGGGTGCGTTGGAAAAGGGGGTCGCTTCAATTTTTGTCAGAAAAGAGCTTGCCGAAGAATTAATGCATGACTTACCAAAATAGCATACCACCTGCCCCGAGGATAATCGGCTCCAAGACCAAGGCACCGAATTTCATTCCCTGTTCATTTGCCTTTCGAAGTTCAGCCAAAATATGTTCTTCATACTTTTTCTTCAGCTTGCTATTATCTCTCTGCGAATTGAACACACTTTCCAATTCATCAAATGTCTGTTCAATTTTCTGGCCAGTTCCATCATAGACTACCCATTTACCATCTTTCATCCAGATTTTTGGTACGTCAAACCATAATCCTCTTCCTTTGTACCAATGTACTTTTTCGTTATAAACGCTTCCTTCACTCAAGTCCATAGCTCCGATAGTATCTCCGTGGTAACTACCTTTCAGTCCGATAATTCCCACCTCTCTACTCTTTTCGGGACTATTTCCCCAACGGTAATGTTTAGTAGTAGCAGTCAAGGCCATTTTAACAGCGACTTCCATGCCGGTACTACCATTGTCAGAGTAAAAGACTCGAGAAAGACGCGGATTTTTGAGATTAGTGAGAAGGTGCTCAGCGAGTTTGAGAGAGGGTGCATGAACGGTGGATGCGAAGATGCAATGTCCATAACGACCTGATGCATAGGCTGCGGCTAAGGACAAGGCAGGATTTCCGTGGCCCAAACCTTGGGTCCACCAGGATCCTGAACCATCTAATGTGGGTATAAGGAGATTCTCTCGGGTTGGCTCCTGAGATTTGGATGCGTCTTGGGTTGACAGAGTTTGGAAGTAATCTCCGTATGCGGAATCTATTGGAAGTATTTTATCCGCTGAGAGATGCTTCATTTGAGTGAATGGATACCAGATTTTTTCGTGAGCTTTTGTGGCCATCTGTTCCAAATCTTCAATTCGTGATATGTTTCGTTGATGGGAAGCTTCTAGTAGAGCTTCAATCTCGCCGGATTGAGCAACACTCGAGTAGTAAGAAGACATAGATTCTTCATCTTCCTGGAGATTTGGTAACTGATTTGGTGGAGGCGGGATAACTGTTGTGTTTACACCTCTTTCTTGGAAGTATTTAGATAGATATGCATAATTTCCGTACTTTTCTTCCTGAAATATCAAGACGGAGTCTATGTCATATCCCCGGAGATGTAAACCTATCTCATCATTAGTCCAGCACGATTTTCGAGAATGATTTTACAGTTATCTTGATATTTTATCTGTGTAGAAAAGTTCACTTACTCTCCCAAGCACTAATTGTTGCAGAAATTCCGCCTAATTTCGGATCACCAACGAGAAATACTGGCATCCTCAGAGGTCTTAATGCGTCTACTTGACTTGTACCAGAAGGTGTTGGCGAATGTACACCACCAGCACCTTCCACTATGATCATTCCTTCTCCTCTCCTTTCATTACCTCTTGTCCATTTCTGAACTTGATTTGAGATTGCTGTAACAATCTCGTGATCATTTGGTGGCTGCACGTGTGTCCCAGTCAGCGAAGGAGAATTCCTCGAACATACATTCTTTCCAACGATTAAGATCACACAATACTATGTGGACATAGAGTATCAAGGTTCTTAAAATGAGACTCGAATTGAACCCCTCCTGATTATCAAAGAAAGTTACTAAACACACCTTCACACCCCTTGCCGCTATATGCGGGCTAACAGCTTCACCATATCTAAATAAGCATGCTATTTTTGAACCCTTTGCAAATTTCTCAATATGTACATCGTCAGCTTCACTCAATGGTCCTGTCGAAACTGGCTTCAAATAATATGGGATTTGCTTTTTGGCGAGCAGTTGTCGACAGAGAAGTGTTGAAAAGATAGTCTTCCCTAAAGATGTGTTGGATGCCGTTAGATGATAGACAGGAAGCGAGCGTGAAAGGAGAGAGGGTGGTGGTTTATACATCTTGACAAAAGGGAGGGGGAGGAAACAGTCGAACAAGTGAAAAGAAGCTCGGAGTTGAGTCAATCGCTGATTGAAATTCGAACAATGAGGGGTGAGTAGAGCATGGTGGGGTCGCTTGCATAAATGACTAATAGATGTTTATCCGATTTTCCAATCCTCCTACTTACCCCTGAGTTATCTCCACAATAGCTTAAACCCATGCTAATGTGATCTGCGGGAAATATCCATGCTGGCACGTATTCATCAATTCTGCTAATGTGTCGTTTCTGGATACAGCATGTCACCAGCTAATGCAAAACGAACTCTCGGCAATACTTCAACAATTTTTGAACAACGGACCCGAGTCTCAAGGCCATGACTCACGAATCAAATCTTATTATCTCTTTACCTGTATCTATCTGTACAACTTTACCACAGTTCTAATCACACATCATACATTTATCTTACAGCAAACCAAAAATGCCTACACTGGAAGAATCGATGACCTCGGCACTCAAACGCCGAGCTCTGAAATCCTCGCTCCGAAATCTATCTTTACCATCTACTATGCAAACTACATCTGGTGTTACACCAATCGACTTCTCATCTAATGATTTTCTCTCACTCTCAACATCCACACTTCTACATAATGAATATCTCTCACTTCTCCGATCTCATTTAACACCTCCCACATCTGACTCTGAGAGTTCATCACCATTTTCAAAATCAACTCCTCCAACTTTAGGTAGTACGGGTTCCCGTCTTCTAACCGGCAATTCTGCCCTCGCACTTGATCTTGAATCTCAAATTTCTACATTCCATCACTCTCCGCATCTTGGCTGTGGTGCTCTTCTCTTCAACTCAGGTTTTGATGCTAATTCTGCATTTTTTGCCTGTGTTCCTCAAAAAGAAGATGTCATCGTCTACGATGAACAAATCCACGCTAGTGTGCATGAAGGAATGAGAGGATCACGTTCTAGGAGATTTATTGCCTTTGAACATAATGATGCATGTGATTTGCGGAGGGTTCTAGATAGTGTAAAACGAGAAGGAGGAGAGAGAAACGTATTCGTGGCGGTGGAAAGTTTGTATAGTATGGATGGAGATTTATGTCCTCTGCGCGCCGTGGTAGACATTGTCGAGGATATTTTTGGGTTAGGGGAAATTACTGAAGGAGGAAGAGGATATATTGTGGTGGATGAAGCACATTCGACTGGTGTTTATGGGCCAAATGGACGGGGACTGGTTTGTGAACTAGGACTGGAGGAAAAGATATTTGCGAGGTTACACACTTTTGGAAAGGCACTCGCGGGAAATGGCGGTATGTTCTTCATCTCGCTTTTTCATTGGATTTCTCACTGTACACTCAATTTCGCAACATGATGATGAATATGCTGAAATAAAAAACAGCTATCATCCTAACTACCACATTAACACGTCACTACCTCCTCAACTACGCACGCCCCCTCATTTATAGTACCTCTCTCTCCACGCCTTCTCTCCTCCTAATCGCCGCCTCTTACTCTCTTCTTTCGTCCTCCTCCACAGCTCCCCTCCAATCTCATGTTCGTTCTCTCTCACATTATTTCACTTCTTTACTTTCCCAACTTCCCCATTCTATCTACCTCAGACCGCAGCACCAAAACTCCAACCCATACGCCGAGGATCTAAACTGGACACCCATATTCTCTCTTCAAACACCTGAACCCAAGGATCTAGCTGCTTTTTGTCAAAAAGCGAGTTATAACGTACGGGCAATAATGAGTCCAACGGTTAAGAAGGGAACTGAAAGAGTCAGGGTTTGCTTGCATGCTGGGAATACTTTTGAAGAGGTTGAGGGATTGGTACAGTGTGTTAAAGAGTGGATTGAGGTAATGGAAAAGAGATTCAAGGGCCAGATGGATGAGACCCTGGAGACTTTTTCTCCGCCCATATCTAGTCCAGCAGTGGTTGTTCAGAAGATCAACGGTGCCGATTTGGGTGCAAGTTTCAAGGGTAAGACTCCAACAGAGAGAGCAAAGCTATAGGTCTACCGCATGGAGAAACCACGTCGTAGTCCAAGATTAAAACTTTCACACAACAACGTAAAATTACAATACAGTAAAGTAAAAGAAACCAGGAATGTAGCCAAGCATCATCTAGAATCAGCTATCAAACCAGACATTCTTTTCCGAAACAAAACTACTGGACAACACAACTCTAGAGCGGAAAATACCTTGAGGTCTAAAACATCCCAAGAAATTTGTGAACATCTTCAACGGGGTAATTAATAGGATGTGCCAACGGATAATCAAAGTTCCAAGACTTCCTATCTACCAGTTGTCACTCGGGTCTCAACGCCAATGCTATGCTATCACCACGAACTTTAGCCTCGGAGCTCACACATGATTGTCACTACTTCATTCTCGCTTAGTATTTTCTCACTGGTACCGTAACCTTGTTGCTAAAAGAATCTATTTTGACGTCCATCTGAAGAACAATCAATCACTCACAACTATCCATCAAATTCCCAACAATATAACAGAGTTCAACTTCTCGGTGCTACTCCAAACGCCGATGCGATATCCGGAAGATCTTCTCCATTTCTTACCTCGGCAATGCCAAGGATCACTCAGCCCAAGCTTCTGCACGGGCCGATCCACCTTCACATCGTGACAGCGGGGAATATCTCGCTTTTCCCCGCCAATCAGGTGAGACGATTGACAAGTGGACAATTCCCGTAGACATAATTTGTTGAGCTGCCCCGCTGGATCATCTGGGGTTACATGAATGAGTTGTGTAAATAAACCCCTCACTTAGCTTGGTTTCGAGGTTTGATTTGTCTCCTTCCTTTTTGTCTCTCGTTGAGTCACGATTTGGTTTAGCTAAATTTTAGGTAGTAATGGCGATGAATCTATTGGATAGTAGCTTGATTTGGAAGTTGTAGATATTTATCATAGATTTTGGTTTCTCTTCTTTAATCCGCGTTAATTTACCTGCTTCATAGAAGAAGGTGAAGAGTGTGTCTACCTACGTGAACTCTCTACTTCACTCCAATATCATGGCAATCCTCCGGGCCACCCTCTTTCGTCCCCTCCGCTCCAACACCCACAAGCTCCCCTCCATTTCTCTCCCCCTCCGTCTTCAAGCCCTGAACTCCAGAAACTACGGCACTGTATCATCTGTTCCTCCCCAAACTACGGAAAACACTGTTACATCTCAAAAAGATGTTTACCAAGAAGCTCTCAATGCAACTGAGCCTCGCACTAACTGGACGCGAGAAGAAATTAAGACGATTTATGATAAACCATTAATGGAGTTATGTTGGGGAGCAGGAAGTTTGCATAGGAAGTTTCACATACCTGGAGCCATTCAAATGTGTACTCTGTTGAACATTAAAACCGGTGGTTGTTCGGAGGATTGTTCTTAGTGAGTTTGTTTTCATTTCACCTCGTTTTCATATGTGTTATCACCGTCGTCTTCTTTTACACTATCCATGTGGATGAATGTATCTCCTCATTTCGTCTCGTATTTGTCCGCTATTCATTAGACCACAATGCTAAGTTCCAACCCCCAGCTGCGCCCAGTCATCACGCTATCAAACCGGCCTCAAAGCTTCCAAAATGATATCCGTTGAATCCGTCCTCGCCGCTGCCCGGATCGCTAAGGACAATGGCAGCACCCGTTTCTGTATGGGAGCCGCCTGGCGCGATATGCGCGGTCGTAAAACGAATCTCAAAAATGTTAAAACAATGGTTAGCGAAATTCGTGGCATGGGCATGGAAGTATGCGTTACCCTTGGAATGATAGATGCGGAGCAAGCTCAGGAACTCAAGGAGGCAGGTTTGACTGCTTATAATCATAACGTGGACACGTCAAGAGATTTTTATCCAAAAGTTATTACAACGAGAAGTTATGATGAGAGATTGAATACAATCAAGAACGTGAGGGAAGCGGGTATTAATGTTTGTGCTGGGGGAATTTTGGGGCTGGGTGAAAATAAGAGTGATCATATCGGACTTTTGGAGACGGTGGCTACGTTGCCTTCGCATCCAGAATCGTTTCCGGTGAACATGTTGGTGGCCATCAAAGGAACTCCATTGGAAGGAAACAAGAAGGTGGAATTTGAAAACATGTTGAGAATGGTAGCAACAGCTCGAATTGTCATGCCGAAAACCATCGTACGATTGGCAGCCGGAAGAGGGGAACTGAGCGAAGAACAACAAGTTTTATGTTTCATGGCCGGTGCCAACGCTGTATTCACCGGTGAGAAAATGTTAACAACACCCGCCGTTGGATGGGGAGTCGACTCTGTTGTCTTCAACAGATGGGGCTTGCGACCCATGGAAAGTTTCGAGGTCGATGCCTTGAAGAACGACAAACCAGCTGCGGTCTCACCCACAGAGATTCCAGTGGAGGAAAGTAAGGCAGAAATGCCAGGTACGGTTGCATGATTTTTTGTTTGATTTGGATACCCCATGGCGTTTGGTGCGCTCATCATATCGAGTTTATCTAAGGAGATAGCATTCGAACAATGGAAGTGCTGTTACGCCACCATTGGGATTGGCGTATTGGACTGAGATCGACTGTACCGCGAAAATGTTTTGCGCTATCGTGTGTTGTCGTCTCGTGGGATTCAGCGTTGCTTTGTGTTTTCATTTTGGTTGTGTTTGAAGTGATGGGATGATTATATAGATATGGAGAATATACGTATACCTCTGTGTGATTAGCAGAATATGTTGTTCCTTTGCATCGTGAATACAATTACGAGGTAATATAGAATGACAGCCGGGCACCTCAAGAACTTCATTACCTCCCACTAACTCGGGAAGAACTTACAAGTACACTGCAATCAACTGAAAAATACATAGAAGGAAAAGTGGTAAGCTTTTCAGAGGGGTATCAGCCATCCCGGTGGTCCTTTCCTGGTCGTACTCTTTGGTATCACAGAACAACATCAGAGAACTACATGCTAAACTTTAAATCTCAACCCATTTTTATTTCCTTTGGAAACGGTTTATGTAACCGGAAACCCTCATCAAATGAGAAGGAAAAAAACAAACGACATATCTCTCGAGCCGGTTTCGAGAAACCTAACTCCATCGACTCGAGAAGACTCCTAGCGAGGTACCGGTGATTATGTGAGATGAAAGTTGGAGAGGAAAAGTAGCAGAGGAGGTATTTTGCATACTATAGTAAGACTTCTACTATGTGTCTAACTGAGAACTATGTTCTTATATATGGGCGAACAATAAATGGAATCCAGCATTCTTTTCCTTTCTGAAACTTCGTGCTTTGTTTCCCATTCAGCTCTAAGTATATTCGTCCTGTTATCTTGGAAAAAGACCAGCCATCGAATATGGATGGTATGAAACAAACGTTCATGCCCGCACAGAATAGATACCTAGTAACTACTTCCAATCATTCCACCTTGATACTCACATGTTCATCTGGCGCTGAGTATACGAGTAATTGGGCCGTTTCCAATCACCCCTGTTTATGATTTCTATACAATATGTAAGTAATATAATCAGTGGTTTTATACTGAAAGTATACAAGTCGCACCCAACACCGTGCTTTAACGCCTGGCTCCCTCGCCCATTTTGTCAAAAATAATTCTTGTACAACGATCTATTTCAAAAACTTCTTCATCAAACAGGCAACACCCTTTTTCCCTTCGCATCCTGCTGCTGTTTTCCTTCTAAATACGCCCCCAGAATACCGCCTGAGCACCCTATCACTATAGCGGATACACTGCCCATGTTTATCGGATTCGAATACATGTACATTCCTAGCAAGGCTATTGCCATTTTACTTGAAGCTTCGACAATTGAATGGAAACCTGAAGATGATTTTCGAACAATTGCGGTGGAATAGAATATTACAGGGAAGACTCCAAAGCAGGTATAAATTATGGCCCAAATAGTCGACGTTCGTATCGAAGATGGGAAACAATCGTTCATGTTCTCGTCGGAGAAATCCTCGATGAGGAAGGAAAGCGCTGATGTGATGATAAATATAAGCACATGGTTATATAGGAAAACTAAGATATGTCAGCTAGCCGTCCATAAGTTCTTACAAGGAGGGAAGACATACTATCCCATTGACCAAACTTGAGATTCGGCACAATCTTTGCCTTCCATGCTTCATATGTGCTGTACAATAAAAGATGTATGACCATGAAAATATATCCAAGAAATAATATCATGACAGGGTCTTGAGGTTCCAAAGTTTGTTCGAGTCGTCGGTCCCCATAGCTTGCTTCTGCATGTGCGTTTTCCGCAATGACTGAAATTATTATGCCGGAGAATATTAGGAGATATGATTTAAATGCGAACGGAGGAATCGGTGTCCCAAACAGAATGCTGTCGACGTAGGGGACTGTGAAAATAGTCGTAGTAGAAAGGAGTATGTACGTAGGTAATGAAAGACATTGAAGCGCTTTGTAAGATATATAATTCGAGACGAGGAGTAATACAGCTAAAGGAAGCCCTGTACAGAATTTTAGTTAGCATCTGCAATCCTCAATTCCTTCAGGTCGCGCAACCCATACAAGTCTTCAATTTTTGGAACTCTAGCCCGGCTAATTCCTTGAAATATCCGCCCCTTTTTAATAACCATATCACTGTGATAGCAGTTCCTGACTATTGAAAACCCAATGTCAGTTTTACGCATTTTCCCAAGCCACGAAGCTTTTGTTAAAACAGCATACCTGAAGCGACAGTAAGAAGAAGTTCAAATTCCAGTATTGACCTGAGACGGCATATTTCAGGATCAAAGCCAACAGGGCACTAGAACCTCCGTATGCCATCACATCGAGCCATTTTCCTGATTCTCCTCCTCTTCTCCTCGCAGGTAGATATCGGTCCTTCTCCTTTTCTTTGCCCTTCGAATAACCATTCATCGTCATCGGCTTTCCGCGGGGTATATTCTTCTTCTTCGATGGATATTCGGCGTCGCACTCATAGTACAGGACTGCACCATTAATTCCTGCCCTCGATCTATCCTCCTGCAATTGAGATGGTTTGGTTGGTTGGGTTTGTTACGTTTGTAAGGAACAACGAGATAACAATTAAGGATCAAAGAAACGGCGCCAAGAGGTAGGTAAGCTCAGACTGGTGGGTCAAAATTTCGCGTAGGTTAAGCTCATGGTGCGGTGCAAGCACCGTGTTGAGGACCCTGAATATTAGTAATTCGGCATGTGTTGAATTCAATTGCTATCCTTTTGATCCTTACAGAATGTTAATGGAGCACACATAGGTTAAAATTGAAAGGCATATTGAAAGTCCTGTATCAAGAGTTGCTGTTTGATGTCGATAGTTTGAGGAGAGAGCAGCAGTCACATGCTTACTGATTAGGTAAGCTATAGGTACGATACAGATTGAACTTACCAATTTGCGTTCATGTAGAGTCACTACTATCACGATACACCCTACGATTTAGTCAATGGATTTTCCTTGAATTTTCTTTCATTTCTTAACTTTTGTAAAGCTACTTTGGCTATTTTTCTATCTGATTGACCACCTAGGCCGGGGCGGGGGGCTTAGTATACTTGAAAGATCTCACAAGTCATACAAAAAACACTGCTGGACGCACTCTCCCTTCAATGACGACGACAACTGCACTGTTTCTTGACGATTGGTCCAAGGCCAACCACTCATCTAACCTCTTGCATTCGTAGCACAGTTTGTCTCCTTGTTGAGGAACTTTGATTATGACCTCGGGAATCATAACTCTACGATATTTACGATTTTGTTTTACAAAGAATCGCCTGAGTCCTTCTCTACAGAGCACTCGCTCCGTGATATCTTGCAATCGATGCTTTCGCGAACATTGCAGGTCTTGGACTACGAAATTCTGCACATGACAGAATGGAAAAGCGCCTGTATTACCGTGATAAAGTTCCAAGTATCTATCTATATCGACCAAGGGGGGTCTAGTGTCGCAAATCCTGGCAGAGCATTGGATAGAATTTACAATTTTTGGGTCCGTGAACAACGATGCTGTAAACAAGTCGACAGCGTCCATCATCAATACTGAGTCTTGTTGGGTGTTGAAGAAGATGGCACGATCGTCAAGGTGCGTCAATCTCTTGTAGACCTTCTTAGCTTCATTATAGCTCAGCCAGTTGATACCAAGAAGTACCTCGGGAGTCTCAATCTCGAATTGGTGGGAAATTAACCAAGTCACATCATGGACAACAGGCTCTGCGATGGCCTCTTTCCAGATCATAAGTTGAAGTTCATCTGGGAGCCTCGAGAAGGCGCTGACCGTATCTTTTACTGTCAACTTTGCGAAAGCTTCGCAGAGTGAGTTCATATCTAATGCAGGATTACATGACATGATTGATGGTCTAATCTTTTCTTTTCTGTAGTATGTTCAAGGTGATGTTCTGGGAAAGAAAAAATGGGTTACCTCTTGACGCATTATATTTATACACGAGGAAAGTCGTTGTTCTTTACATGATCTGCTTGTAGAACACATAATCAGGACATCAAAACAGGCTTCATAGTATTGGCGGACATGGTCCCGCAGATATACAACACAAAAGTCAAACTAGTCGTCAAGTCTATCGGACCCGGCCACGCATGAAGAAATACACCTTCTTACTGTTCGATTTCTTTGATACATCGCGAGGAAATCTCTTCTCTTCCATAGGCAAGATTGGTGGATATCCGGCAGAACAACGTGATGGCTGCATCTGATTACAGGAGTTGAGCCAGTAGTGTTAGAAAGAAACTCTGTCCAGACATTGTTTGTTAAGAATTGGAACAACTGGTTTCGGTTGGACTAACTGCCATTCGATAGTCGAGGAAACGACACAGGGACAATTGGCAGTCTACAATAGCCTAAGGCAATACGGGCGACTTTGGAGGCTTCGAGTTTTTGTATAATGGTCAAATGTGTTTGCAGAAGAGATTCTTTGTCCGAATTGAGGTCAAGCACGATATTGTTCTCTGTACAAGTAAGAAACAACACTTGCTCTAGAGATATAGATCTCGCATCTTCAGCTTTCATATTTAATTTTGAAATATCCAACATATACTTGGGAACACAATTTAGGAGTAAATCAAGTCGACATTTCTATATTCAATTAGCAATCTACTAAAAATAGGACCAACCTATATTTACCACAAGATGTCTTTCGGAACATTAAAAGAACGCGAAGAGGAGCGAATTACCACTGATTTGTTTCAAGACCTGTCCAGAATGTCATTACAACGCCAGGATGAAAACCAAGTCGACGAGGTCGGCGAGCGGGAGCTGAGTCTTTTCGTCACCCAAAACGATGATATTCAACAGTCGATCTGGAGTGAGATTCTGGCACTAGAAAATAAAGTATTGACAGATGAATTCGATTTCAGACTCTACGCAAGATATCCGACCGATACAGTCGAAGCCCTTCGTGAGAGCGTGCATCAAATTGAATCCATTACGATGCCATCCAGAATCATTCCGAGTTTCAACCAGGGTGCACGACCCGACATCCCCCTTCTGCAATATCTCAGAGAATGGCATCAAGACCACGAGGAACCTTTTCCTTTTCATAATCTGACCCACTGTGTTATCGAAGATCCTGCTTGTCACCCCACGGCCACAGACCATAGATTGTTCTCATCTGAATATTGTACATATGTACGTCAACAAGTCGTAGAATTTTTCCGAGAGGAAAATCGACGACATCCTGAAGTCAGGATTCCCAGAGTTATTGTTTACTCCCAGCGCATAGGACCCGATAGATGCAGTGATTGCATTGCCGAGATCAGACGAAGACGGCTAGGAAGATTATTGGGGCATTAGTTAGAAGAAGGTAGTTCCATCTTCTAATTGTGTCGCATATTTCAAATCCCTGATCTATCAACCTGTGTTCTACCTTGAATTTCTTTTCTTGCTACTTCCTTGGCTTCGAGTATCTTTTCTTGCTATTCCCTTGGCTTCTTTAAATCATACTCCGTTTCCTTTTTCATTAATATAATCTTTTCTTTCCCCTTGATTTTTCCCTCCTGTAAATCAAAACTTAGTGACCCTGATATGGAGTGATGTTGATATTGTACCTAATTAGAAGCCGCGTGGTAAGATATGAACAACATGCAGAAAATGCCAACTTAAAAAGTATGTGGTACGCGAAGTTTTTGCCACAACATGCGTTCACTCACAAATGCTGTCAGATAATCAATGAATCGAAAAGAAACTTCACTCCAGATCGGCCTCTTTGTAAGGCCGAATTTGTGATTATTATTTGAGGACATCATTATTCGCTTGCGGATCATTACTGGTTCAGAAAACATGTCCAACAGTCGGCTTGAACATTTGAATATAATATATATCTGAACTCAGCACAGAACCTAGTCCACCACAGCCCAATCATCAATTCTGTTAGTGTACTCGGCTCGTTGCCCGCGTTTCGAAACTCTTCTCCTTCTCCTTCTCTCCAAAAGTGACCTCTCCTTCCTCTTCCTAATGGAACGAGAAGACAATCAGTTGTAATTCATTTTCGAAGGAAAGCAATATCATCGGAATTCAATATGATATTACCACATAAAGATTTAATTATCGTTTCCACTTTCTTACTATTTGGATCGAATTGAAGTTTCTCATTTTCTAGCTGTTTTCATCCATGACTATTCTCTCTTTTCTTCCATAAATTAGAAGACTTTATCCTCCCTTCAACCTGAAGGGATAAGAAAGATCTGTACACGCCAACAATTACACGTCTCTTTCGTCATCATCTACCAAACCAATCCTGTTCTTGGAGAAAAGATACCCAACTCTTCTCTTACAGTCTAAATAATGCTCAGCATTGGTGATTTTGATAAGAGGCCCTCGACGCCCGACTGAGATCAGACTAAACTTTGAACCACAACATTATTCGCAACCCAATCAATGCATAGCTCAACTTCTAGCCTCTCACGTTTGGAAGGATCACATCGCGTTCACGTCCATTTAACCCTCTGCTGATACGACGGGCTGGTATTTGCAAGCGTCTTACGTGGTACCAGACCTTCTACCTATCTATCAAGCTACTCTACTACTGGGTTTGGCCTTCTTTGTTGATTGTTTGTTGTTCTTTGTAATCGTCTCCGCCAGCCTTATTATGTCTCTTCTTATCGCGAGAGCATTTGCTCGTGAGTTGATTGACAGCGTTGGCGGGCATCTTCCCATCTGAACCAGCAGCGGAAGTTTTTATCTGACATCATCGGTAGGCCGTACCTTTCTGTATCAATTATTAGCTAATCAACTGTTCCAGAAATTCCAAGAATTAGGGGCTCGGAAGTGGAAATTTTATCTTTCAAAAGGCCATTTAGCAGAAGAAGTCATGAAAGAAATCCTTGAAAGAGCGGAGATAGAAAAGTTCATTTTCATTTCCGGCAACTACCACCAGATAAGATTAAGATTTCCGCTAGTTAGCAGCTCATCAGTGAGTGTGTCGAGATGATAGTGTTTTTCCAATGAGTTTGCCGGAATTCGAAGCTAGCAGATAGATCATAGCTGGCAGATTGACATATCAGCCACTCTGTGTCTGGCCTAGTTTGATATCTTGATGGCATCTCTTGGCGGATAGTTCAATGGACTATGAAAGGAACGAATTGAAGAAAGAGAACAATAGTTGGTGAGTTATTTTTGTACAACATTATCATACGATTATTGTGAGATTTCTTCATCTTTTGTTCACAATCACAAGTGTACGTTTTCAACTGCCTTGTCCTCAAGACTGATTCATCCTTCGAGGCCCAGTTTTGTCTACCATAACAAAGGTCTGTTGTCCTATTTCTTGTCCTTCAATCGGTCCTCAATATTGTATCTTACAGTGGTATGCCCGCTGCATTTTGGACTTGCTTTGATGGTAGAAACGTATTGAACTCAAACACGAAAATTTGCCAATAGGAACACTTGAAAAGTATCGCCCTTCAAAATTCTCAGACTTTTATTCTATAAACAAACAGACTCTTCAATTCGAAAGCATTCGCGAAGATATGTCTTCGTTTCCTTTGCAGCCATCCGTTCCTTTCAATCCAGATATAGATATCTTCAATTTTAACAACCTCAAGTTCAATGAAGACCTGCAGTGGGACCACCAAGCAGAATCTCTCCTTCTTTGCGAAAATGTGCCACTGCCTGCGGATTGGAAGCCTTGGCGTCGCGCGGATGAGGTGATGAGAGGCTGGTTGATTCATCCTTGGGTTGTCAAGAGAGTTCAAATCACACCAAAATCAAGATTTTGGCGGTGTCTAAACCACGACTTTTCTGAAAACCCAATCCTTCAATCGCAACCTGTAATTTTTACAAACTTCATCTTCCAAGATCTTGATGAATTTATTCTTCAAGATGCCGACTGTATACTCTACCACAGGTTTGACTTGCCAATTAATCGAGATAATTGGAGTTATATTATGACGATATTCAGAGTTGAAGCTTCCCATAATGAATTTGCGGCCATGAGAGCAGGCTCCAAATTCAAAATACCAAAGGTCACGATTCTGCCTAGTGCCAAGATTTCAACAAGATGCAAGCGTTGTATTGAGAGACAGATGTTCCCCCGGAAGCATTTTGAAGACAGAAAACGTTTGAAGTATTGGAATAAACAGTATCAGCTCAGAATGATTGAGAGATCCAAAATCGACGGTTTCCGCTGGTGAGTAAGTCGGATCTCCTTCATTTCTTCTCGTTCTATTTCATCAGTCTTTTCTATAAAAACAGTCAGTAAAATAAACCCCAAAAAATTTCATATATTTCCTAGTAAACGCTTTCTTTCTAATTATACACACTCCATGTGAAATCATTCCACCTTCTAATGTGCATTTTCCATTCACCTTCCACTCATGAAACCACTGCCAAAACATAAAATTCCTAGTATTTCAAGCTTTGTACGGCTGCTTGAAATACTGACAGCGCAGAGCTTTTGCTTAAAATCTACCTCGAATCAATCGCACCTATCTCATTACCTACATTTCGTCTCTATCCAAGTTCCATATTTCCAGCAACAGTGACTCAAGCAAACCCCGAATTTCTCGGTAAGTGTGACTAACAATTCTATGATCCCGTTTTCGTCTTGAAAAGAGTGTAAGACGTCTTTTCAGTAGAGGACTCACAGTTTCTTTTGTGATGTACGTTTGAAAGAGGTGTAAACACCGACAAGAAACACAGACTGGCCCCTACACGTATCTTATTATGATAAGAGACCCTTGAGGTACGCCTGGCATCGGAGCAGAATTCATAAAGTAATCTTGGTTGATGCTGTTAAAAATCACCTCATCGTCGCAAATTCACTAAGTTCAATTCTGGACGCATGGATACCAGCCGGTTTACATCATTTTTGGGGAATATCAGAAGTTCTATACTAACCTTACAGCGCTCTATTTGATTTTTTTAGTCATTAATTCTTCAAACAAGATTGGTTTCTGAGGTTATCACTTCAAAATTTCACCCGTGCCAGTCATCCAATGGCACCGATGCCCAGTTCTTTGCCAGACATTTGTCATCACTTGCCTCGAAATGTTTGACCGCAGTCATAAAGATATTGATTTAACTGTCCTCGCAATCACTTTCGGGAAGTATCTTTAGATGTGTCAATAAAGTCTCGCTCATTGCTAATCTCAATACATATGTTACAAAGCTCTAATCACATATCCTCCATATCATTCCTCCAAAAAGTGTAAATCCGAAAACCTTACCCAAGTATGTTAGAATAATGCGGGTTCCTGTGGGGAGGAAACCTTATTGATTGGGGTCTAATACTCATAACGATTACCCCAATCACCCGGTATTGACTGTATATTAGGGTCTGGAGGTGTTATCCGTATAGCAGGTTGATGCGAATCTTGGCGATAATGATGACTGGCAGAACTTGATCTCCTTGGATGATTTGGCGCATCATGAGGTCGCATTGGACGGTCACTGTGGGATGAACGGCGACAACGTAGTCTCTCTCTCGAATCCAGAGCATTGGATGCTTGAAGCGAGCCGTTACTGTCAGAACGGGCTTTTCTGCCATATGAACCATACGATGAACCATCTTGAGCACAATTCGATGTATTTGCGGCCCAATCTTCGATCTGTTCGGACCAACTTCTAGACGCAAGAAGCTCGTTTTTCCTTCTCTCCAATTCTTCTTCTGCTCTTTCAAGTGAGCCCTCTCTTAATGAGATCACACTGTTCCGACCTTCAAGATACTTGCTCATATCAGCAAGTCGATCTTCCTCTTCGGACACTTTTACTTCTCTCTCAGACACTTTCATTTCCCTTTCGAACACTTTTCTTTCCCGCCTTGCAAGCTGTTGGATTTTGCGACCACTCTCAGAGGTATGCTGATAGCATCCGCAATGGTCAGGGCAACTACGAATACAGTAGATATCGTAAGCCTCTGCTACCTATTTGATGAATTTTAGTGATAAATGTATGGAATGGGCAACGGTTGCTCACTTTGTGAAGGTGTCTTCGAGAGCACTCAAATCTTCCTTCCTGAAGGACTTGCATGGTTGACCTGTTGATTGTTATGTATTAAATTATGGTCTTGGGTCTTGGTTATGATTCTGGCCTAAATTTGTTGGTTTGGGGTTTGATTTGGTTTCCAGACTGGCCTGGGGAAGGGTAAGGACATCAAAAAGTTAGTCCTGGCTCGCATACTATGAACTATGAATATTTGATCTGGCGGATTCATGCATTATTATTCGAGAATCAAAAGGTTTAGTTCTCTTCTGACTCAATCTAAGTATCTATTCTAGCACACAGTCATCTGGCAAGGAAGTTGTATTCGAGTCATACAAGGGTGCATCTTTTTCAATTTACTTCCAGCAGTGATTAAAATTGTACACCTATTTCGATTCTGCCATATTGCGAATCACTGCTGTAATCTCATAAAAATATAGTGCTGAAATTCTTCTACCTTATAATAATGATCACTGATCGTCAATCAGCTGCCTTTCCTCCCTTTATCTTCCGCTTCTCTACTCCATTCCCTACACAATCCTTTGCCATACTTGTTGCACTCTCCATTCACAATTCACCTACAAGCACTCGGCAACCTTTTCGCAGTCTCGAAAAACCAAGTGCCCACACTCTCCACACTTGTTTTCCGCAAGCAAATTCTTTTTCTTACACTATCAAGTCATGATCAGCAAAGACTTGCCCATCACTTCCTTCCTACCAGAAATAAAGAAGACATAACCCACCAGTCCCTTAACAGCACTCTCCATCATACCTCTCATACTACCCAAAACCGTTGCTTTCTCTGCAATCTTATTACAACAAGTCCAATAGAACCCATAGAAATGATTCGAACTCGCACTCGCACTTGGTGCAGAAGTTAGATTCTTATCCCCATTTCCGATGTCCACTCCTGGGCGAAAGTTGAGTCCAATGACTCCCTTCATGATTCTATCGCTCTTTCGTTCCTTTTCAGGGCTCAGGGTATCTTGTCTGGGTATATGTAATGGATCTTGGAATTGTGGTCCAGAAATCGAGGTTGAAAATCTTGACGAGTAGAAGTTTGGGTGAATCTGGTAGAACGTGTCTGAGTCTGGTGCTACTGGTAGTGAGCAGCCGAATGACTTCGTCATATCTGCGTCCATTTTGTTTGTATGGGTGTAATATAGGCCTGAGAAATTCTTTGACTGATATCATGAAAGTGGAGAGAAAATAGAAGACCATGTGAGTTAAGACAGTTAATCGTTTGGAATTCTGAAAATATTGTATGATGTTTTGAACAGGCAAGAGATCACAAACAGAGGGTGATTTAAATAGAAGAAGACAAAACCTTATAAAAACACAAAGGTCTTACTAGCCGTACCTGGCTACATTTGCAATATTAAGTCGACAGCAGCAAGAAGTAGATGCCCGTACGAAGTCAGTACCGCATTGCGAGACAAAATCTTACACGAAGAATAAACCAGTTAGCAAGTTCATCGAATATCAATGCCATAAAATTGTTGTACTATCAATACATGATATCCATCACCCTTCCTGCCCTACCTCCTATGTAGCTCCTCGCTTATCATTCTCGGCTCTCCACTTATCCTTTCTACATTATCTAAGTGAGCATGAATTTCGACGGAAGTGTCTCTGCTCATATGTTCTCAAACAAACTATTATTTTGGTTGAAATAGATCTCGTCGAATGATATTGATATTCCATGTTGGTAGGTTTGGTAGCTCGAAGTATTCTCGCTTGTAATGGAGACTTGGATCCGAAATTCTGGTACCTACGCAAGATGGTAATAAAAAGTTGGATTCAATCTGCATTACCCATATGGTGTAATCTGGGGTTTCCAGCTGTTGGAACGAGCTACAAATCGATAGAAGAGAATCGTTGAAAATTTTACGTTATGGAAGGAATGCTAAAAAGAGAGAAAGAAAAATAGAGAGCAAAACGAGACTTTTAGTGTTATGCAATCTTGTGCCCGGGTTGAAATGTATACAGAATGCGGTAAGTTAAGTATTTAGATGACTTCACCACTGGAGATGAAGGAGGGAGACACTTCATACTTCATACTTTATTAGTTGAAATTTTTTGACTTTTATTTTAGAAAGCTGTATAGAAATTTCTCACAGGTTTACTTGATATATTTACTATTCAAAGTATGTAATCCATGTATGTTATATGTAGCTAGCAGCAAGATTGCCAACATCAGCTAGCTGTAAATTGGGTGCTGGTGACTGTGCTGAGTCGATCCAATTCTCCCAAAACTTCACTCCTTCTATGCTTACTTCCCTACACAAAGCACCCCTCTCCTCAGCCATTTCAAGCTCTTCTTCAGCTACTCCTATGCTCCATCCAAAACGTTCTGCGGCGTCTTGTGATGTAACCCCCTGGCCAAATTCTTGCCAGTCCCATGGCACTTCCTTCTCTGGTGGAAATACGTGCAAATCTCTCAACCATGCCAGCAAAGTTTTGATGGTCTTTTCGTCAGTCCTATCACTGCCTTGAACCACTAGTACTCCACTACGAAACTGTCTCAATCGTACAGGAAGCTTCAGCTTCTCCCACAATCTTGCAGCCTTTTCGAAGTCCAACGGACTAACGAGTTCAACACCACCCCGAGCACGATTAAAAGTAGCCCATAGATCAACCAGACTAATAATACCTCCAGTCTTGCGCAGGATTCCTCTAGCATCATCTGTGAGAAATTCTGCAAGATTCCTCGACAACTCGGAAATATACAATGACTCGGAATTGCTCCCACCACCAAGCATATCTTTCGTCGTTACCAAACCAAGGGCACTTGCAACTGCATTAGATTCAGTATTTCCATTTGTATTATTACTGCTGGCAAACGATTCGGCAAGAGCAATAATCTCTTTGGCCGAAGCCATCAATGCGTCGAGATCTTCAAAAGCATTTCCTATGACAAGTTCATTATTCTTACGGACTTCAAGACGTCTTTGTTCCAGGCCTGCGATTCCAACCGTTTTCGTCCGCTCGCCACTTGGTGTAGAACTACCCGAACCCGATCCACTATCTGTCCTAACATGGCGATTGGTTTTAGGTATCGGGGGAGCGTTTTGTAGAAGCCATTTACGCTGTGTCATGGATGCTTTGAGACGTTCGAGGAACACTTTTTCTCCACCACCCCGAAATGACAATTTGATGCTTTCATTGGTTTCCGTCCCAGGCGCTGGCAGATTATTCAATGTAGGGCCTGGGGACAATTTACGTCGTTGTGAGGGACTTAATCCAGTTGGGAGATCTTGTGACAGTAGTGGGGCCCCACAAAGCTCGCAAGCCATGAGTGATGGATGGTTTAAGAATGTGCATCTAGGACAAGCAAAGGACGCCTCGTTAACCCCACCTGAAGGAGACTCATCCTGATCGACTCCGAAATGGCTTGAAGGTGTGTCCCAAGAATCAGATTGCGGACGAGGGGCATCTGGACGACCTCTTACTGGTAAGGGTGTCTTAACTGGGGCTATAGTAGAGGGAGCCGGCCTATTGCCCGCGCCAGATATAGCTGCCTTGAGAATATGAGCGAACGGAGGTTTAATACCACATGCCAAGCATGGAGGCAAAGGAGTGTTTGCATTAGATGTGACTGGATCGAAATTCGAGGGGACGGGATTCGAGAAAGAACAGATAGGACAAATCCATGTGGCACTACTTGCGGGTGTAGGCTCAGGAACTGGCAGATGGAATGGACTATCGGTTCGTGATAATGGAGATGATGTTGCACTTCTGGATGGAGAATGTAGACTTGTTAGAGCTCGATTTTGGACTGAGGATCGTTTCGAAGGCTTCGGGACAAGAGTAATCTTGGCGGATGATTTCAAAAAACCAGCCTGTAACGATGTTAACTATGTATAGCCTCAAGAATATAGCTAGTAGCTCTCACGTAAAATTCATAACGATCAACGTCTTTGAGATCTATTGCTGTAGAATTCCTTCTTGGGTCATCATTGTCTACATAACATATTCGATGAGATGTCAAGTAGACCTGGCCATTCTGATGATCAGGAATTTTGTATTTCCTGTTTACAATTTAGGTAAGCAACTGTCTTTCTCAAATTGCTTGCTTGAGCAAACACTTACCCCTCATAAAGCCCAACGTTGTCTTGGACAAAGAGGTTGACCTCATCTGGCAAATAGGAAGGCCTCAAAGCAGTCGTGAGGTCTAAATGTTTTAAAAACATTCGTCCACGCAAGCCATGTACTGAGAGTTTTTCTGATATCTGTCTAAGGACAATGCAGTGCACATCTGCTGGGAACGATGAGAACAATCGATTGCAGCATCTGCAGGTCCTTGTGGAAAGCTAAGACAATTCATGTTCACTATCATTCCCTTATCGTGATGCAATCATTGCTGCTGTAAATTGGGCAATCCTGATTACTTGGACTACCGTAGCAAGTTTTTCCGTCCTTTCTACCTCGTGACTGATCGATTATACGCCAACTCATTCGGTTAATTGTCCATTTCAACCCAGGCAAACCAGCCATTCTTACAAAACATTCCATCACTTCACAACCTCGACAACTATTCTGAAAAAAATCCAGATACATTCTACACAACATCTTCTCAAGAATCTTTCTAATCGAAGACCTTGTCGCGTTTCTTGTATCGCATCACTAATATCTAAGAGCGTAAAAGCATAAGTTCTATATGTACAATACGATGGCTTCACCATGGAACTCTAATATTCCACCGCCTCCAGGTACGACAGGCTCATATGGCTATCAGCAAGGTGAGCAATCCACAGCTCCAGCAAGACGTTTTTGTTCCAAAATCTACATACCGGTTTCTGACAAAAATTCCACAGTCGCGCCGATAGTTGCCCCAGCTTATCATCCAGTGCAAGTTCGACAATCATTTAATCAAGCCCCACCCATAATGTATAACCCAGCAGTAATCCCCCAGCAATCACCCCCTCAATCAATACCACCTCCTGTCCAGAAGAAGAGAGACTGGCCACAGTCAGTTCGTAATTACGTTCAACGTTCATTTGATGTCGCGCATGCCATCGCCGGTATTGAGCGTCCAGACATGGAAAATATGTTAAAAAAGACCATCACCGAGGCATCCGATACCGATACACTCTTCTCCCGTGATTGGGACAATTATCCACTCCCTCAACAATTAATACAAAGGGAACGATCAAAGGCAGCCGCTGCATGGCAGCAGGAATCTTTAAATTTTCAACTAGCTACCACCGGTCTTGCGAATTCGGCCAAGAAGAGGAAATCTATAGAAGGAAGCAGTGATGAGAACCTCGTAGCAATGCCGCCCTGGCGTGCTAACAACCGCACGGGAAATGATGATCGTGCCAATTTGACACCCTCCAAACAACGATTTGATAAACGACAACAACCATTCCAAGACGATCTCTCCCATAAAGGTACAAGTAAGTTTCAGAAGAACCTAGAGAAGCGACAAAAACGATTTGATGGTGGCTATAAATCTACCTATAAATCTAAGACACCAACACCGGAACCAATGATGGGTCCCTTGATTGGTACGAATACAACGTTAGAAAAAGAGTACTTCCGTTTGACTACTGCACCCGTTGCTTCACAGGTTCGCCCTGAGTACATCTTACGGGAAACGCTAGATCTGTTGAAAAAGAAGTGGAAAAAGGAAGGAAACTATTCTTATATCTGCGACCAATTCAAATCTATGCGACAGGACCTTACAGTTCAGCGTATCAAGAATGAATTTACAGTTACTGTCTACGAAATTCACGCGCGTATTGCATTGGAAAAGGGGGATCTCGGTGAGTATAATCAATGCCAGACTCAACTTCGGGCTCTTTATGCCCAGAAGATTGGTGGTAATCCGGTGGAGTTCAAGGCATATCGTATTTTATATTTTATTCACACAGCTAACCGCACGGCATTAAATGATGTCATTGCGGATCTAACAAAAGCAGAGAAGGAATCGGAAGCGGTAATACACGCATTGAGTGTACGTTCGGCATTAGCATTGGGCAATTATCACAAATTCTTTAGACTTTACCTCGATACTCCGAATATGGGAGCATATCTTATGGATATGTTTGTCGCCCGAGAACGTTTGGCTGCTTTGTCGAAAATTTGCAGAACGTAAGTCAATTCAATCCTAATCGCTTCAAAGGGCCAACTAACACATCGTAGTTACAAACCCGAGGTCAAATTAAGGTTCGTCACGGAAGAGCTAGGATTCGAATCCGACGGCGATGCTGCCCAATTCATTTGTGACCACAATGGACAGGCCTTGTTAGTAGAGAAAGATGGCGACCTTCGATTTCTTTCTGGCCAGGCCGGTCAGATTTTTGAAACTGCAAAAGCTGAAGCTTTCCGCGCGATTGATATCAAGGGCCAAATCTAACACTTTTGTACTTTCCGAATGGGTTCATATATTGCCATCTTTCACCCATTTCGTCATTTTTTTTCTCTCCGTGGTTGTTCAAAGACGCCCTTCACGTTAAATCTATATGATTTAATTTTCCTGATTGGCCTCCCCTCACAGAACGAGATGTGGGTCTAGATGACTGCGCGTTCCGTCTTCATCCGCTTGTCCTTTCACAGAATGGATTTTCGAGTCGACCAAGAACATACTCGAGTTTTCTTTTCCCCCTTCTTCGGTTTCGAATGGGATAAACCCCTTGCATTGTTACTTTCTTTCTCTTCTTTGATGCACGGTGAATATCTAGGTGGAGTTTGTGGTTTTGGCGTATAGTGATGGAGTGGAGTGCTAGCCGTTAATGGTAAGCACATTGGGGCCAGGAGTTCAAAGTTCTTTTGTCGCTTTGCATGGTGCCGGTGGAGGGAGCGTTCGATATAGTCTTGCATGGCGTTGCACAAAATTGTGCTCCAGGCGGTCTATGCCGCCTTTTCTTTATCATGTTGGCTTATAGAACCCTCGTAGCTATGTACATACTGCAACTTGAGGCGAGGGTTTACATTAAGTAGTACTGACAAAAGTTTAAGGCAATGGATGGATACAAAATCTCATGAATACTGAAAGTTAACCTTAAAAAGTTCCAGTGTCTCTTCAAATGAATGTCAGATGTGCATGTAGAATTTCTGACATCATCGTACGATGTTTTCAGTAATTCTACATTTCACAACAATAATTCTCGATATGCGAGAAAAAGCCTTTCTTCATGCCTAGAAAATTCTTTTCCCGGACCCTTATGCCTTGAGTGTAAAAGCAGAGCTGCTTTAATTCAAAGCTCACTTTATCTCGACTACTAACAATACCTAGTCACATTTCCAAAATAGCTCGTTTCAGATAGAGCTTTTAGTGAGTAGTAGCGTCTGTGTGATGAGGGGACACGGGAGATTCCAGGAAGACTAGAAGCTTGAGGGAAGGTAGAGAGAAGCTTGAGAAGCTTGAGAAGCTTGGGAGAAGACGGAAAGAAGGGTTGCTTGGACGTTGATTTGATGTCAAATGGTGTAATGGCATATGACATATGACATATGTCGTATGTCGTATGTCGTATGTCGTATGTCGTATGTCGTATGTTGTATGTTGTATGTTGTATGTTGTATGTATTGGGGATGGTGGATGGTGGGTGGTGAGGGGTCCGCATTTTGCGCTTGGGGATTGGGGAGTGATTAGCTGAGGTTATTGGGGATTGGGGATTGGGGATTGGGGATTGGGGATTGGGGATTGGGGATTGGGGATTGGGGATTGGGGATTGGGGATTGGGGATTGGGGATTGGGGATTGGGGATTGGGGATTGGGGATTGGGGATTGGGGATTGGGATCTGGAGGGGGGAGGAGTGGAGATGGAGCGTGAGGGTGAGGGTGATGGTGAGGGTTGAAGGGAGAAGTTGAGATGAGTTGAGTTGGGAGTGGGAAGAAGGTGTGGATGGATGTGTACACATAAGTATGGGTATGCATCCGGCCGATATCAGCTAGCTAGCTAGATAGATAGATAGATATCTTTCACAATAAATACATTATGGTTTATAATTGATTGGTGAGAGTGAGTTTGTTGTATACATGCTTGGTCAGTGAGTAACATATTAGGAGATTGATAGATTGATAGATTGATGGATTGATGGATTGATGGATTGATGGATTGATGGATTGATGGATTGATGGATTGATGGATTGATGGATTGATGGATTGATGGATGGATAGATAGATAGATAGATTGATGAGAGAGTAACGGAGGGATATGTAATAAAATCGGTTATAGGAAACGATGACGTGGGGGATTCGGATTTGGATTAGATTCTGGAGGTTGACATTTGGGGATGGGGGGAGGTGAGGGTTGAGATGAAGACATTGAGTAGCAGATTGCAGAGGGGATCCGAGTATAACTTGTGTCTGTGTAGAGTTTTAGACTGTGGGGGTTTTCTGGTATGTATTCTGTGGTTGTTTAGTTGGTTGGTTGGTTGGTTGGTTGGGGTTCTGGATGAGGGAGGTGTGGGGATAGGAGGTGTGGTAACTCGGATGTGATGTGAGATATAAAAAGGATTTATGATTGTTGACTGGTGGGCGTTTGGAGTCTGGATAGTCCCTGGGTATATTGTGTACGCGTTTGCGAGTGGTGAAAGAATGAAAAATTGCAGATTTCTATTGATAAATTTCGTTTCTTGTTGTGTTGGGTTTGTATGGTATTACTCCACGAGTTTTTTTCGGCAGTTCCACAGCATATGTATAAGAAAAATCGGATTTTGCCTGTGTCGCACGTATTTTCTTTACATCTATCTGTATTCAAGATGAATCTCGTAGTACACTTTTACAAAAACCCATCGGTGAATTGGTGCACAAGGGTTCTCTATGAAGTGTAGGTGTGTGTGACGTACAACTGGGTGATGGGTGAGTTGGGATGGATAGGGAGATCAATAGGTACTCCTAAGTAGACAGATAGATATCTCGAGTGGACACTTCCAGATACTTTGAGCAAATCATGAGAGAGATGTTATGAGAGTTGTTGCTGCTTGCACGAGAAGGAAGAGGGGAAGCAGAGATATTGATAACATAACTGCTTGTAAATATCTTTTATCGGCAGTGTAGAATGAATGTAGATGTATATCTACACATAAAATACCCAATCATAGTATGATACCTAATTGTAATCACACTCATACCAACCCCAAACAATATCTCTCTTTCACCCCCTCCCCCCTTTAGAAATCCATCATCATCATCATCATCATCATCATCATCATCATCATCGTATCCTCCCCTCCCCAACCATCCCTCCTGCAAAACAAAACAAAACAAAATAAAACAACCCATCCCATCCCATCCCATCCCATCCCGTTACATCATAGGATCCTCGACGCGTTTCAAATCTCTCGCTAAATACCACCATCAAGCTACGATATCTAGGCATGGGAGTCAGGGACTCCACATGCTGCATGTTGCATACGGTTTCATCTTGTACCTGCGTTTTTGCTTTCTTGCCTGCTTCCTTGCTTCTAGAATGTAAGGAGAGAAGTACAAACGGGGTAGAGAGTGGGAAATGTGGAGTAGAAAATAGATGGCAAGAGTTGGATTTCGATGTGATATGTGCAGATGGTTGTTGGAAGTTGAAGGTTGCAATTCGTGATTGTTAGTTGCTTATTTGGAGGACATGTATACGTAGGGAGAGTTACTGTGTAAGTGGGAAGTTATATATGTTCTTTTTTTTTTCACGATATATTAGATGTATATATGACACTTCCGATCTCAATCTTAATCTCAATCCCATCAAAGCAGGAAATATAAACAAAAATAAAACCAGAGTCCAACGAAACACAAAAGGAATAATCTATTTGTACACTCAGGTAAAATCTAGACGCGGTGAAAGATAGTATTACCTACTTTGTAAGAGACATCTAAGGCACGGTACAGGAGGTGGCTTTACTTCACCATTACATCACCTAGCCTCCTGGTGTGTAGAAGGAAGTGGAGGTGTTCAGAAGAAGAAGGAAAAAGGAATTGGGATTCATTTATGTAAGACGGGGGATTGGGGGTCGAGATGTTATGGTGAGATTGTGAGATTGTGAGATTGTAAGATTGAAAGTATAAATGGACGGATGTATGTATGTATGTATGTATGTATGTATGTATGTATGTATGTATGTATGTATGTATGTATGTATGTATACACGCCATGATGTATTCGGGAAGGAAGAAAAAGAAGGAATGGAAATGTTACCGAGATAAAGGAAAATATACAAAAACGTATCGATATTAAAAAAAGTAGAAATGCATAGAAATATAGATGAATACATACATACCTAGGTATACATTCAAGAAGTAAGAATGTATAAATATAACTAAAACTATCGACAATCTTTCTTTCACTTCTTTCCTTCAGAACCGCCATCTCCAACGATTATGAAAATTTACCTCCCGCGACCAAGCAAGCTCTCACGGTACCAACCTACCTACATCGAGCCTATCTACCTTACCCACACTCCCACGCTGAAAAAAATAAGAAAAAAAGCACACACACACAATGATATACTCCCGTAGGCCAAATAGATAGACATAAACGGGCACAACCAAGCCAAACCAATCATCGAATGAAAACCCGCTCAGCCCTGAAATGATGGGGCTTTCACCTAGTGAGATTCCACTTTCCACTTTCCACTTTCGACTTATCGTGTGAGTCAAGCGTGCCGCCGTTGAGGATGGGTGGAGATGGTGTGGAAGAGAGATTGTTATTGGAAGAGTTTGAGACATGGTTGAGAAGAGGAGTGGTGATGCAGGTCCCAGGTCCTTGTGGTTAGATGTTTTTTTTTTCGAGGGATTTGTGTGTGTGTGTGTGTGTGTGTATTGCATTATGTGGGTGTGGTTGAATTGGAATTATTGGGTAGGTAGGTAGGTAGGTATATCTGTATGTGTGTATATATGTATGTATGTATAAGTACTTTGGATATACAAGTACTTGGGATATATAATATTGATGGGATAGGTAGAGGTAAGATATACTTAATCCTATGTAGATTATATCTTGTAAGGAAGTGTTTACTTTGGTGTATTATATGCATTGTATGTACTATAGTAGTAATGTATATGAGAAGCAAAACTCGGATGGCATATTCATCATTGAGTACCTTGGAACGAATACATAGCAATTTCTCCACGATCGTAAAAACCCCTCACCACATTACAATTTCCAATCACGATATCGACGATGCCGATCGCGATGACGACGACTATGACAATAACTTATAGGGATATCAAAGTCTAATTAATGAAACCCTTTCCATCCGAGAAAGGGTTATGCTTTCTGCTTTCTAATTTTGAATTTTGACTTTTTTATCGTGTTTGAGAGGAATGGAAGGCTCCCACTTGCTTCCCCGAACCCCCTGGTCGAAAGTTTACTTGGGTACGGACGGTACTAGGGACTTCTCATGTACATCGATCAATTGGT